TCTATAACCTTGCCCTACTAAATTCATGCCACCTGATAGGAAACTGTAGCAGATTCTTCCTTAATATACCCTTGATGATTGAGACAAGCAGATGGCATAATGGTTATTTCGCTGGACTCCCACATGGTCGACTATGGTTCAAATCCTGGACCCAGCGGCTTAAGCTCACACCGGATGCATGTGCGTGTGTGCCCAAAATCCCAAGAGGAGAATGGAGAAGGGACTGCAGCATGGCTATCCCCACCCCGGGGATCTGTCTCTCTTTCTGTCTCTTTAGTAAGTGCACACACTCTATAGCAAAAATCTCTCAAAATAAAATAAATGCCCTTGATGTGTCCCTGCAGTCCAACTGCAAAAGGGAGACAGCAGCAGCCGAGAATGAATGCAAAGACCCAGGGTTTATTGCTGAAGGAGAAGGGGAGAGAGAAGTCAAGTGCTGGGAAACAGAATCTAGACAAGGGGTGGGAGACATCCCTCAGTCAGGCCAAGGCACTCCTCTGGGTGACAGAGGGCAGTCCAGTTTGCCTCATCCCCATGTGGGTTAGGGACCTCCCTAGCCTCATAGTTTTCCTTTCTCTTCCTGAGAATGCCACCTGACCTGGGATTCCCAGGATGGGTAACAGAGCCAGACTTTTCCTTTGGCAAACCTGTAGCTGGGTGGAGGAGCCACAACCTGCTCTTTGGTCTTCTGTCTGTGTGCTCCCAGGCTGGCCTCTATCCTGCTGTGGCTGTGGCTGCTACCTGGAGGTGGCTTGGGTAGTGCTGGGGCTGGGGCTGGGCTGCAGCAGGACTGGTCCTGGGGATGTCAGACTTTGAGTCAGGGACTCATCCAGCTTGCGTGTCTCGGCCTCCAGGACGGTGGCCTCAGGGGCCTGGGCCACAGTAAGAAGTGAGTGGGACAGGCTGTGGTGCAGGCCTGCCAGCTCCCGGCTGGTCTGCACTGAGCGTGCGATGTAGTCCTGTCTCTGCTTCCGCTCCAAGGCCAGCTGGGCTCGCAGCAGGGCCACCTGAAACAAGAGGGAGAGCAGGTGATGGCCATGCCGCTGTCCCAGCTCTTCCTGTTGGTGCTCCTGTCCCTCTTTTTGGCTCAGCGTTTGCGTCAATTCTACCACAATGGGAATCTCAGACTCTGGCTTCAGCGTGCTTAGGGGAAGGGCTGTTAGGAATCAGAGAATCCAATGCTTCTCAATCCTGGCTACACCAAAGAGGATGCTTGAAAACAACATCAAAACCATTCATCAACTTTATTGAAAGATACATGTACATGAAATAAAATGCCCAGATTTTGAGAGTACATCTGATGAGTCTGACCATTATCTCAACCTATATACAGAACATTTTAATTACTGCACGAAGTGCCATTGTGTCCCATTTGGAAGGTTTTAGAAACTATTCTGACTTCATTATTGATAGATTGCGGTGAGGTCTGGGTGGCAGCACCTTTTCCAAAGCCTCTCAGAGTTCTGACATGCAGCCAGGGATGAGAATCACTAACTCACCCTTGCAGTTTTTCAGATGAGTACAGAGACAACCATGAAGCGAAGACCCTGGATCTCAGGACGGGTCCAAGACTAGGTTGAGGGAGGAGGCGACTCGGGTACAAAGTGTAGGGAGGCACTCTGGGTCAAGAGGGTGTGCCTCCTTAAGTTCGATACCCAGGGTGCCTCTCTGGCCTCATCCTAGTCTATGCCCTGCCTCAGGACTGCTTCGTATGAGTTTAATGGAATTCTACGTAATAGCTTAGGTTTAGCTACAGAGTCAGGCCCTGCCAACAGTGACTACGAATTTCTGAAACAGGCTTAGAAACAAAAATTCCACTTTTCTTACTACCGCTGGGCCTTAAACGAGGTAGTGGATCTCTAGGTCAGGCCTAAGAGACAAGAAGTCACTTGATATAGTTTCCCTGAGTGTGGCAACTTGACCTGAGCTGTGAGGCCTGGATCTTGTGCTGGTGCCAGGCTCCTCTGCCTGTGCTGACAACAGGTCTACCTGTAAGGACACATTTGTGAGCAGAGGCCAGGAGAGTCGGCTTGCTCTAACCTGTCTTCCTGGAATCTTCCATCTGCTCCTCCTCAGTCCTCTTCCCTTTCCTCTACTAGCTGTGGAGATTACGGGGCGGGATCATGCTTTCTTCCCCATTCCTACCCCAAGCATAAGCGAGGTGGAGTTTAGACTAAAGGTCTGCCTCCTGTGGAGACTGAAGTTCTCAGAAAGCAGGAACCACATCTCCCTCTCTCTGCTGGAGGCATATAAAGGGCCAAGCACTTAGCAGACACTAAATTCTTGTTGCTTGAGTGCAAGGAAGAGAAAAGTAATTTAGAAAACAGATCCTTCCAGAATGTACCTCTTTCTGTAGTTCAAACACATGCTGGGCATTTGCAGTTCCCTTCTGTCCTCTTCCATCCTAAGGAAGACAAGTATCGTGACAATTAGAATAGGCCTTCCTACTCCCGGGTTTCTGGAGGTGACCTTCAGCCAGAGCACCACAATCCTGGGGGCCTGGGCAAGGCTTATGGGTCAGAAATGCCTGAACTCAGACTGAACCTCTACCTCTACAGTGTACCATGGGCCCAGAGAAAAAAAGCTCAAGAGGGCCACATCAGCATAATAGGCAATGGAGACCTGATGCTGAACATCCAACAGGTACAGGTAGCATTTAACAGAAGTATACCACGTATCTGCTCTGTGCTAGCCTGGGCTATGAGCTACGGATGCAGAGGATGTAAGACCCAGTGCCTGCCCTTGGGAAGTTTCCATTAAAAACGGGACTGGAGATGCTCCGTCACCAGAAATGGTCCTTCTCTGCCAGGCTGCAGGGCAGGATCTATTGACGGGCGTACCTCAGCTTAAAGACTGCTGGTTTAGGGGGATCTTCCCTGAACTCCTTACCTGAAAAACGTACTCTGGCCCTAGGAGATACCTTAATCGTGTAGTACTGTAGGAAGCAAGGAGGTCAAAGAGGTCTGCAAAGCTGTAGTTAAAGCTCCTGGGCACACAGAGACTGGCAGAAGTACCACACCACACCCATGTGTCAGGGGCTCTGACCAGAATCCCCTTGAGCACTGCTCTGGAGTGAGCCTGAGGCACTGGGCTGGGAATGGGCAGAGCTGATTTCCTCACAATGCAGGGGGCCGGCCATGACTCCATCCCCATCCACTGATGTTAGGCCTCCTTCCTGGGGCAGGGACAGACCAAGCTATGCTGAGTAGGGCAAAGCCTAGCCAGGAGGGGCTCCGGACTGGTGAAGCAGCTGTCTGCCTGTCCCAGGGTGTCTGGGATATGCAACGTAGAGGGCTGAGTCTCTGGTGGCTGGGGCTGGGCTCTCCTGAGGCTGCAGCTGAGGAAAATGGATAAACCTGCTGTGTGGGTGTTGAAGTCCTGGTTTCGCTGATCTCTAGGGCTCCGGTCCGGGATGCACGCATGGAATCCCTCTTCAGCTTCCTCCGCTCTCGCTCTACCTGAAAAGATGCAAGTGAGAAATCAGCTTGCAATTTAGTGACCACTGCTCTGGGGGCTGCACAAGAGGCCAAGAGGCATGCCCACCGCACCGAGTGTGGAACTGAGGACAGCAGAAGTGACTTACCTGCTCCAGGGTGGTCCGCAGCTGGACATTGTGGCGCTGCAGTAGGCTCCGGTCGACCTCCAACCGTGCCACCACTTGCTGTAGGTGTTCGAGCCTCTGTCTCCATGGCTGCTTCTCCTCTGTTCCAGGACTAGGCTCAGTTTCCATTCCTGAGCCCTACAGGAAAGACCTGTGAATCTCACCTGGTAGCCCCTTAGACAGATAGGGGAATAGACAGAGGGCAAAGGTCTGTGCAGACAGATCCATGCTTCAGGGGCCCAAGTCCTAACAGAAGGCACAGGCCCTGGATGCATTCTTCTGGGTCATAGGTTCCCACCAGACCACTGCTCACCTCTCCCAGCTGTGTGCCCTGCCCTCCTCGAGGCTCCTGCTCTGCTCTGCTGGTCGAACCTGGGCCTTGTAGCCGCTCCTTTTCCAGAGCTTGTCTGGTGAGCTGCAGCTCATCCTAGAGTACAGAGGGGTGGGAAAATTACACCATGAGGACTTCATGTCTGGACCCACCTGTTCTCTATCCAGTTCAATTTTCTTTTCTTTTCTTTTTTTTTCTTTTTTGAGAGGTTTTTGCTATAGGGCACATGCGCTCACCAGACAGAGAGAGACAGACAGAAAGCGAGAAATCCCCCCCCAGGGGGGATGGCCACGCTGCAATCCCTTCTCCATTCTCTTCTCGGGCTCTTGGGCAGGCACGCACACACGCCCAGCGTGAGTTTAAGCTGCCTGGTCTGGGACTCGAACCGTGGTCGACTATATGGGAGTCCAGCGACATAGCCATTACGCTAACTGCTGGTCCCTCCAGTTCAATTTTCTCATCAGGTTATAGTCTTATTTTTTCTGAAGCCTCTGGGCTGTTTTAGACCAGATCCTTCATTTTTACAGATGGATAAAACAAAGGTGGGGCCAGCAGATGGTGTAATGGCTATGTCAGTGGACTCCAATGTGGTTGACAGTGATTCGAGTCCTGGACTCGGTGGCTTAAACTCATGCTGGGCACATGTACATGCATGCCCAAGATCCCAAGAAGAGAATGGAAGAAGAGAGATTATGGTGTGGCCATCTTTCCTGGGGGGATGATTTCTCGCTTTCTGTCTGTCTCTCTCTGTCTTTCCGGTGAGCACACGCCCTATAGCAAAAACCTCTCAAAAAAAAACAAAACAAACAAAAAAACAAAAAAAACAAAGCAGAGAGAGCTCTACCTAAGTATACTAAGCTTCCCGTATCAGGCACTAACCACACTGCATTACAGTTGCTTCCCTAATAGACTGCAAGCTCCATGAGGGAAGGGGCTGTGAGTATCTTAGCCTCTTTGTCTCCAATAACTAGCATGGTAGCCTGAATTTCTCTTATGAAGGCTCCTAATCTTGGATGCCTCTCACCCTCACAAGGTCCAGGGTGACAGGTTGTTCCTGAGCTCAGTCAAATGGTCAAATGGAGTTCTGTCCCCCAGCCCTCATTCCCCGTGGAGTGACTTACCTGCAGCCTCTGCTGCTCTGAATCCCGCTCCAGGAGGGAGGCCTGTAGGAACATGGCGACCTCCTGCAGGTTGCTGACCCCGGCCCTGCTCTGGGCCAGTGATAGTGCCAAGTCCTGAGCCTTTTCCCGCCACTCAATCTCCCTGGCCTCTGTTTGCCTCAGGGCTGCCTGTAGTCGCTCCAGCTCCCGCTGCAGCCTGGGCCCTAATGGCTCTTCCACTGGGAAGACTTTGTGGTTCTGGAATGAGGTCTCTAGATCTTTCCTTTGCTGAGCCTCCCTCAGCTCTAGGATCTCTTCTTCCCTCTGGGCTACAATCAGCTGTAGCTCCCTTAGACTCTCACGAAGGTCCCTCATTTCATCCTCTTCTCTCTCTTGCCGTAGATTCTGCTTCTCTTGGATCACATCTTCTTGGCCCTTCTGGGTCAGAGACTTCTCTAGCAACTGCCTCTGCTCCCTTTGATGTCTCAGTTCTTCAGTCCTCTGGGCAAGTGCCTGCTGCAGCTGTTGTATGTCCTCCTGGTGTCGCAGACCCTGGTCCTGGATCTCATCTTCTCGTGTCCTCAGGGCCTCCTCCAGCTGCCTGGCATGTGCTTGGCAGGCGTCCAGAGCAGCCTGCAAGGTGGCAGTGCTGGCCTCTAGACTGCGGAGCAATTCTGCCTGCCCAAGGAGGTGTTGTTCTTTTTCTTGCAGGGCGGCCTGAGCCTTGCTTAGGGCCTCCTGCAGAGCCTCTGCCTGGCCCCAGGCAGCCTCCTCCTGATGCTGGCAGGACTGGCTTTCTGCTCGCAGAGCCTCCAGCTCCTGGTCACGTTCCTTGAGCATCGCTTCTGCCCGCAGCCAGCTGTCCTTCAGGGCTGTGGCCTCTGCCTGGTGCTCCTGTGCCTGCTCGGCACACTGCTGCTGGAGGGCCATCAGAGCCTTCTCCTGCTCCCGAGACTCGGCCCGAAGGTCTCCCAACACTTCCTCCAGGGCCTGCACCCGCCGGCCTTCCACTGACAGCTCCTCCTGGAGCCTGTGTACCTGCTCTTTATGGTCCTCAAGCTCACCCTGGCACTCCTTCAGGGTTACATGGGCCTGTTCCAGAGCTCCTTGGAGTGCATTTGCCCTTTCCTTCACATTCTCCTCCTGCCTCTGGGCCTGCTGCTGCTTTTGCTGCAGAGCTTCGAGTTCCTGGTCCCTTTGGGTTAGGGCTCTCTGGGCCTCTTCCAATTGACCCTGAAGTGAGTGTTCTCTCAGCTCTGCTTGTTCCCTGGCTTCCTGCAGGTGCCTCTGCAGGACCACTATCTCCTGCTCTCGCTGGGTCAGTAGTAGGCTGGTATCACCCAGCTTCCTGTGCAGGCCCTGGAGCTGCTGCTCCAGCTGGTCCTTGTGACCCTGGAGTTCCTGGAGATGCTCTTGCTGGCATTCCACCTCCCTCTCCTTGTCACGCAGGATCAGCTTCATGTGCTCTAGGCTCCCACGCTGGGCTTTCCCCTGGCCCTTCCCCTCCTCTGCCCGCTCCTGCCTCAGCTGCCTCTGAGAGGCCAGTGCCTGGCCTCGCTCTCTCAAGGACAGCTTGATCTGCTCCAGGTCCTCCTCTAGTATCTTGGTCTGCAGTGTCCTTTGATCTTCTAGAACCTGGATCCTCTCCTTCTGTAGCATCAGCTCCTGGTCTTTCCTCTCAAGATCCTGAGTCAGATGCTCCTTCTGCCTCTGAAGCTCCTCAATCTGTTCTTGCTGGGTCTTTGCCTCCTGGTCCCTCTCCTGCAGCTCTCTTGCCAGAAGCGTGCTGTGGCTTTCCAACTCATGCATCTGGCTGCCTTGAGCCTGCAGCTCCTGGCTCCTTTCCTCCAGGTCCAGTGTAAGGTGGGTCAGAGCCACCCTCTGCCTTTCCCGCTGGCCTTCTAGCTCCTCAATCACCTTCTGCTGGCACTCAAGTTTGTGACGGTTTTCCTCCAGTTCCAGGGCCAGGCATTCCAGAGAAACCAACTGCTTTTTCAAATCCTGAATCTGTCCTCTCTGGGACTCAATCACTTGGGCCTTCTTCTCAAGTTCTAGAAGCTGATGCTCCAAGATGTTCCTCTGAGTCTCCCGATCCTTCTCGAGCTCTTTGATCTGCTCCCTCTGCACAGTCAGCTTCTGCTCTCGCTCTTGGACAGCCATGGGCAGATGCTCTAGGACAGATCTACACTTCTCTAGCTCCTGAATCTGTTCTTGTTGCAGGTCCACCTCTTGGTTCCTCTTCTTCAGGTCCAGAGACAGCAGCTCCAAAGCAGCCTTCTGCATTTCCCGTTGCTTCTCAAGTTCCTGGATTTGTCCCTGCAAGGTCTCCACCTCTTTTTCTCTTTCAGATAGGGTTTGGCCCAGGAGAGCCAGATTCTCCTGCAAAGCCTTCCCCTGGGCCACCTTCAGCTCCCCCTGCTCTTGCAGAGCCTGGGCTCTCTCACGCTCACTCTCCACCTCCTCATTTTTCAGTTTCAGAGCCGAGCGAGCCATTCTCAGGTCTTCTTCCAGTACCCCGGCAGCATTTGCCTGAGCCCTGGCTTCTGCAATAGATGCTTGCAGATGTTCCACCTGGGTTGTCAGGTTCTCCTTAGCTGCCTGAAGTAACTCCCGCTCGCTCTGGAAAACAAGAGACAAAGCTATCTTACGCTATATGTCCCTGGTGCTGTCACTCTAATGATGGCACCAGCAGTGACAAGGACTTGGGAAAAACAGTGGTGTGTTCTACTCAAGCTGCTACTGTAATGAGCATCCCCACCACCTCCCGGGGCTCTGCTATGCCCAAGGGAGACAGTCGGTACAAATGAGCCACCATAGACTCTGGTCCTTCAGGGCAAGGGACAAAAATTTCAACCTCAGTTGTGAAAAAGTAATTTAAAGAGGATTTACTGGGACCTTCATAGTGGCCCTCGGACATGAGGTCAGCTAAAGAGATGGAGAGTTTTGCTGGAGGAAGTTGGCCACATGACCCTAGGCCAAGGTGGGCTGGGAGCTGAAGCCTGGGCCCTACAGTAGCCCTCCTCCCAAAACCAGCACTACTTTACCTGGGCTTCCATGCCCTGCAGCTCTGCTCGCCGTAGGCGACTCTGTAAGGAAGCCACAGTTCCATGCAGCTCCATCAGCTCAGACTCAAGGGAGTTCTGTTTTCCTTCCCACCTTGATTTCTCTTTCAGAAAACAAGAGAGTAAGGCCATGGTTGGGGTGGGGAAAAAAGAGGGGTCCAGAAGCAGATGGAAGATGGGGAGCAGAATAAAAAGGGAAGAAGGCCAAGAAAGAGAGAATTACATCCAGTGTCCCAGAGACATCACCCATCTGCTCTTATCTGCCAGGCTCCTGGCTGCTTCCAGATTCGTGCCTATGTCAGCTGCCAGCCCCAGCACTCCCTGTTCACCATCCCAACACTGTTCACCCTGAGCACATAGGATCCTAAACGCTGGATTCTAGACATGGCTGAGCTAGGTGATGAGGTTCCTTCCAGTCTTAATTCTGATTTTGTAGAGGTCCCTCAGGACCGGGCTGACCCCTCTTTGTGCAACATGCACTGAAACCCAGCTCTATTGGGTGGCTCCTAGGAAGCCCTTAAATAGCCTCCACAAAAAGCCCGGATCCACTCTCCAAGTGCTGTCCTCTCTTCCACAGTGGAACAGAGTCTCAAGACCCTTCCCTCTTCTCTCCTTTCTAAGTGGCTACCCCCTTTCCCAGCCCTTGGCTGTGGTGATATGTTCTTTCCACTCCTGTTTTCTCCCACAATCCTTCTACCATCAAAGGCTAATTTTGAGGATATAGTTGGAGATGATAAAAATAAATGAGTAAAATTTTTTTAAAGAGGTATTTTTGCTATAGGGCATGTACACTCGCCAGAGACAGAGACAGAAAGCAAGAAATCACCCCCAAGGGGGAGTGGCCACACTGCAATCCCTTCTCCTCCATTCTCCTCCGGGATCTTGTGTACACACGCACGTGCACCCAGTGTGAGTTAAGGCTGCCAATTTTGGACTTAAACCATAGTCGACTATGTGGGAGTCCAGCGACGTAAACATTATGCCATCTGCTGATCCCAACATGGGTAAAGTATAAAAGACATAATTTTATCATATTCTCAGGTCTGACCCTGGTTCTCTAGCTTTGGTTTGGTCTTTCAATCTCCTGCAGAGATAGAAAACCGAAGTCAGTTTTTCTTCTCATGTTGCCAAATATATTCCTCCCTAAGCCCTTCTTCCAGAACAGCCGTCAAAGACCAAACAAGGCAGAAAAACAGTTTCAAGGGCTCATCACTGTTTTGAAGATGCCTCTACACACCATTTCACTGTTCTGGGTACCCAAGAGTTGCTGCTAGGCCTCTTCCTGCCACTTTGGGTGGTTCCTGCCACACATCCGCTCTCCTCCCTCCACATCTTTCTGCCTATCTTGAGCCTCTTACCTTCTCGGTTCTGGGAGAGCTGTCTCTGCAGATCCTGCAACTCTGTGTGGACCAGGTTCTTCTCCGCCTCAGTCTCAGTCAGACGCTGCTCCAGCTTCTGGGCCTGATCCCTTAGATCATCCTGAAAAAGGAGGGGCATGGCTAAACTAGAGGTGCTTATCTCCACAAATCTATCCCCACCAGGGCTCAAGTTCTCTCCTCTCTTAGCTTCCAGGGTGGTCTGCCATTGCAGGCCTCCTCTCAGGTGCTGTGCTAGTTACCTCTGAATTCACATGAACTTAGCTCCCTCACGTGATGACAGGCTCTGCTCTAAGTGGCTGGAGCAAGAATCCTCTTCTGGACCATCTGTGTCTTTTTTAAAAATTATTTTATTTTATTCATTGTCTTTATTTATTTATTTTTTGTTTGAAGTTGACCAGAGAGAAACAGAAAGTGAAAAGGAAAGTGAGAAAGCAAGCTGCCAGGTCTGGGACTCAAACCGTGATCAGCCATGTGGGAATCCAGCCACCTTAATCACCATGCCACCTGCCCCCCCTTTTATTTAAAGAATGATTTTATTTAATTTTATTTATTGTCATTATTTTATTTATTTATTTTTCATCTGTGTCTTTTTTTTCTTTTTTGAGAGTTTTTTGCTATAGGGCGTGTGCGCTCACCAGAAAGACAGAGAGAGACAGAGAGACAGAAAGCGAGAAATCACACCCCAGGGGGGATGGCCACGCTGTAATCCCTTCTCCTCCATTTTCCTCTTGGAATCTTGGGCACGCACACACATGTGCCCGACATGAGTTTAAGCCACCAGATCTGGGGATCAAACCACAGTCGACTACATGGGAGTCCAGCAACATAGCCATTACGCCAACTGCTGGTCCCTCATCAGTGTCTTTTGAAATAGAACTTCTGCTTAACATCTTAGCCCAGAGGTCACCTCTTCCCTCTCCAAACTCCCACTTCGATGTTTGGCCCCAGAGGTAACCTCTTCCTTCCTTCTAACCCTCCTCAGATCAGAAAGAATGGCTCCTTCCTCCTAGTTCCAACAATGCATCATTTGTATCTGTTCTTGGTTCTGCTTTCCCTAAAAATGCAGTTTGGTTCCTCCACCATGTCCTGGGCCTTGTTCAGAGCATAGGTCAGATCTTTTCTTTTTTGTACCCCTAGCTCAGAGTGGCTGGCACATGGGTGGCACTTGATTTGTACTGACCGATTAGATCACTGTGAGGTGGAATTTGTGGGGCCTTTAGTTCAGACTTGGCCCTAGAATGGTCTTGTATGCAGCAACCTCAAGTCTCGGTGGTCCCCAACCGGTCAAGCTTCTCTTAGAAGCCCTAGTACCAATAAGGTCACAGCTGACAGGAAAATGACACGAAACAACAGCATGCATCTGCACAGGGTTTTATAGTTGATAGGTCTCATCGATGTTTTCATTCATTCAATCTTCACAACAGTCCTGGTAGGAGGCAGGCCTTATCTGCCCTACTAAACAAGTGAAAGAAGGCCCAGGAAATCCCAATACCTTATTATGGTTGCTGAGTAGTAAGAGAGAGAGATGGCATACATCCCAGCTTGATCCCAGGAATAGAACAAATCAAACTGCTTCATGAATCTCTGTCTCAACTTTTTTCAGGAGAGGTGAAGAGTTCGAGGAAGAACAGAGAAACATACCCGGGCCTGCTGAGTCTTCCTCAGGTCTTGGTGAAGCTTGTGAAGGGCAGATGCTACTGCCTCAACTGAGAGAGCCGTCAGGAGGGAACCTCTCTGAAACAGGCTACGAGCTCCATTCTGGTCTAAAAAAAAATGAGCAAAAACCTCCTCACTTGGCTGCTACCAAGAAAAGAAAACAGCCATACTTCCCCAGACATGGCCTTGGCCTTCACACTGGTCCCTTCTCCTCAGAGAACCCCTTCTCAACAGTTCACTCATCACACATTTTCTGCCTAAGTATGCGCCAGACACTATGGTGGGCACTAGATAAGGCTAGCTGTCATTTGTTATGCACTTAGCATGTGCCAGGACCTGGCTGATCTATGTGCACCTGTAATCTCATTAACTCCTCAGTAAAATCCTGAGGTAGGTGCGCTTTTTTTTTTTTTTTTTAATTTACTATATAGCATATGTGCTGTTCATTGGAGAGAGAAGTGGGGAAGGAGAGAAACAAAGTGAAAAAGTGTCCTCCAGATGGCAACACTACAATCCCTTCTCCATCTTCCTCTTGTGATTTTGGGCACACACATACATATATGCCCAGCATGTCCCTCAAGCAGCCAGGTCCAGGATCGAACTGTGTATTGATCACATGAGATCCAGCTGCCTCAATCACCACACCACGTCCTGGTCTGAGGTAGGTATTTTTAACATCCTCATTTACATTTGAGGAAAATCAAGCTCAGAAAGGTTGGGTTCGTCACCACCCACCCCTTACCTTGGAAGCTAGTCCTGGTTTTGGCCCACGGCCCTTAGTTCTTAGATGGTTGCTTCCTCACCTGGCTCAGGACCCCAGAAGGAGAGAGCAGAATCTCCACCACCACTCAGCTCAGGCCTGCTCTCACAAACAGACCCCAGGGCTTGCTGCAGGACAGAGTAGAGGCTGGCCAGCTGGGCCTGGGCCTGGTTCCCAGGTTGCTGCTCTGTGGCCAGCGCCTCCAGCTGGCTCTCTGTGCTGCGCAGTCGCAGCTGTAGTTGGGCAGCCTTGGCTTCCTGGGCCCATAAGGATGCTCGTAGCTGTTGTTCCGTGATCCGAGATGCCTCCAGTTCCTCCAGCAGCTGTGCTTCTTGGGCCAGAAAGTCTGCCTCCTTTTCTTTCACCTCCTGCTTCAGTAACTCCACCTACCAGGGAGGAAGTGTACTTGTTGGCTCTGAGCAGGGAGTGAATATCTTCTCCTAGTACCCTTCCAAGCCTGACTCTGTAACACTTGATCAAAGCTGGGGGATTTCGGCAGATTCACTCTCCAGCGGGTACAGGATCTCTAAACTGAGATCTGACACCTGGAGGCAACTCCTGACACATAGACTCAGGCTACCATAAAGGGCTCTGGCCCTGGTTTCATGGGCAGATATACCCTGAAACTGAGCCTAATAGGATCAGTCAATTACAATGGCTACCATTTATAGAATGCTTACTATGTCTCTGCTGCTTTTATATTTCCACAATGATTAAGAATGATTGTCCTTGGGGACCAGCAGGTGGTGTGGTGGTTAAGGCGCTGGACATTCCCATATGGCCAACCATGGTTCAAGTCCTAGACCTGGTGGCTTGCTTTCTCACTTTTTTTCTCTTTCTCTGTGTCTCTCTGGCCAAAATAAAATAAGTAAATGAGTGAATAAAATTTAAAAGATATTAAAAAAAAAAAAAAGAATGATCGTCCTTGGGGCTGGCAGGTGGCATGGTGGTTAGAGGTGCTGGACTCCCACATGGCTGGCCACAGTTCGAGTCCTGGATCTGGCAGCTTCCTTTCTTGCTTTCCCTTTCTCTCATTCCGCCTTTCTCTGGTCAAATTAGAAAATAATAATAATAAATAAAGTTAAAATAATTATAAAAAATTATTGTCCTTGTTTTATGAAGAAACTGATAATCAGGAAGCAATAGAACTGGCAGTCCAGCTTAGAACTGACAGCCAGACCTGTGTCCTCTCCTCTGCATCTACTGTCTAGCTTTTACTCCCCTGACTCCTCCTCTCCCAGTTCTATCTTTGCTCGTATAGCCAAGGTGTGGGGTCTTGCTGTGAGCGGACTGAATCCAGGAAGCCATCTTCCTGCTGCCTACTGATCTGGACCAGGCATACTAGGAAGTGGCTGTGACTGAACCAGGCCTCCATGGGCTCTGCCCCTCTGGCCACCAGGTCTAGGTCCCTGCAGAAGCCATTCTCACCCAACCCTGCTCAGACCTGGCTTCCTCCTCTTTCCTTCCTCTAACAACCAGGACTGTTGAGGTCCCAGCTTATCTTAAAATTTAGAAATTCCTCTCTATGAGGATCCTGCCCCTTCAGTGACAGGCATCTGCCAAGGAAGCAGGGGTCTTAACCGGAGTGGGAAGTACCTGGGCACTGAGCTCCTTCTGCCCTCCCTGGGCCGCCTGCATGTCCTGGCGCAGGGAGCTCAGCTCCTGTTGACGAACAGAGTCAGCTTCTTGTAAAATAAGGAGTCTCTGTTCCTTTTCCTCCAGCAACAAAGTCAGGCTAAAAAGAGAGAGATCAGTGGGCTAGACCATTCTCTTAGGCAATGAAAAACTACCTTCTCGGGGTCAGCAGGTGGTGTGGTGTTTAAGGCTCTGGACTCCCACATGGCTGACCACAGATCAAGTCCCAGATCTGGCAGCTCTCTCGCTCTCTCTCTCTCTGATGAGTACATGTGACCTATGGGAAATTGAAAATAAATAAATAAATATTAAAAAACAAACAAACTACGTTCTCACCTGACTGTCCTAAACACAGAATAGCTAAAATAGAACTAGTAATGAGAATGGTTATAGTGTCACAAAAGCTACCATTTATCAACTACCTACCAAGCACTCCCAAGTATTTCAACTTCATGGTTTATTATTCTTTAGCAAGCTCCACAGATATCCATGCAAATAACTCAAGTTCAACATTTTCCAATCTTCCCACCCCCTCTATATCTCCTCTCCCCCAACCAATCACCTCCTACCACATTCCCCTCAGCGAAAGGCACTTCCAGTCACACAGTGTCCCAAGATCCCTGCATCTCATCTACATCCAACCTATAATTAATTGTAATTGCTTCTAACTCCTTTGTCATCCCTTTGGCCCTTCTCTCCTCACCTTCCCCACTATCCTTCCCTGGTTCAGCTTTAGTATCTCTCATGTGAACAACCGTCCCAGCGAACTTGCCCTCCTGCCTCCAATTTCAATGTCAAATGCACCTGCTCCTTCTCAAGCTTCTACAGCACAGAGACTACATGCTGTTCTTCATTCTGAATGGTCTTATATTTCATGTCGTTATGTACTGATGTTTTATGCCATTACTATCCCTTCTAATACATGAAAAATTGGATTATGTCAAACTTCTTGCTTGAAACCCTCTAGTGGTTCCCAACTAAACTTGAATTACAAATTTTCCACCAAATCCTAAAGGTGATGAGCTTGTCAAACCACACTCTTTTAGTTTCACCAAACACTGTTTAAGTTTTTTTTTTTTTTAAAGAGGTTATTGCTATAGGGAGCATGCGCTTGCCAGAAAGACAGAGAGAGAGAGAGAGAGAGAGAGACAGAAAGCGAGAAACCACCCCCCAGGGGGGATGGCCACTTTGCAATCCCTCCTCCTCCATTCTCCTCTTGGAATCTTGTGTATGCATGCACATGTGCCTGGCATGAGTTTAAGCCACCGGGTCTGGGACTCAAATAGCAGTCAACTACATGGAGTCCAGCAACATAGCCATTATGCTAACTGCTGGTCCCAACACTGTAAGTTTTTATCTGCCTCAGGGCTTGTGCACAAGATTTTTACTCCTTACTATAGAGCTCTTTTCCCCCTGTGTGGCTGGTTCATTCCATCCTTCAGTGCTCAGTTTAAATGCAACCTCCCAAGAAAGGCCTTCCCTAAGTTTTCTGAAGTAGGTCTTCTCTCTCATTTCTAGTCCAGCACTGTTTCTCTCCTGCACATACCATGTGACATAATCTGTAATAATTTGTCTTAGGGATTATTTGATTAATGTCTTCCCCCAAAAAACATAACTTCTCCTGAGGTAGGGACAGTCTGGATTACCACTGTATTCTCTGACCCTGGCATAGTGTATAACAGGTGTTCTCTAAATATTTACTAAATGAATGAAGTATAAATTTTCAAGACAGGGACCACATCTTTTGTACCTGGCTACCTGAACACTGCAGGGCTAGAGACATGAAAGGAGAAATGACTTGAGCAAAGAACTGTCAATGTCACAGTGCCCACTACTGTAACCAGAAAGGCAGAAGCCACCTCCATGGACTGCCTTACCTACCTGGCTTTCTCACTTTCCAGCTCCTTCTGAATTCGGCCATACTCCTGGGCTTCTCTCAGCTTCTCCTGAACCTCCTGCTCCACTAGCCTTTGGGACTCATCCTGGGCCACTAGCTGAGACTTCAAGTCCTCCATCTGAAAAGTTAAGGGCATGAGGACGAAAATACAGGGCAGGGGCCAGCAGGAAGATGCTTCTTACCTAGGACTTGGGGTCCTGCAAGGTGTACCATAGACAGTGGCCATTTCTAATGCTTTGGAGGTTCCACCAATTCTTGTCCTTAACACACTGTTCTGAACCACCCTCTTTCTCAATGCCACTTGGCTTCATTATCTGTCTCCCCAGCCTCACGTATACTGCATAAAGGCAGGCATGAATAAAAATCCTGGATGAATATAACTACAAAGGCAAAGAGAAAGCCATTACTAACCCAGGACTCAGAGAGGCATAAGCTCAGCTCTGAGCACCCTTCAATTTTCCACTCAGTGGGGTGGCCTACCCTCACTCTCCTACGCTCAGAGAGCAGGGCCAAGGTTCTCCTTGTGCTCCAGGAGGGAGTGGGAGAGCCTAGCTATGTGGGGAGGGCTGTGGGGCTGGTGAAGAGTGGACCTGCTTCTGCAGGTCGATCTTGTCCTGCAGCAGGGTGCTGCCCTCTTCTCGGAGGGCAATGAGATCGTCTTGGTGCTGCCGTGCTGCCTCCTTCAGCTCCTGCTGAGCCTCCTGGAGCTGGGTCTGCAGCATCCCAGTGGTCTCCTGAAGAGAGAGATGACATTAATGAGAAGAAAGCTCCGGGGGCCTTGATCTCAACATCCATGAATCTAAATGCTGTATTTCTTTGTCGTTGGGATGGCAAAAACTGAGGCAAGAGCCAGTAATCCATACGTTTCCACCTCAACTCCTCACCTGCCATTCCCTCTTCTTCCTCACAAAGTACACTGGCTCCTTGGTTTGTTTGCCAGAGGCCATATGTGCTCAACAAAGAGAAAAGGAGAAAGCACTCCCCTTGGACATGGTCATACTGCAAACCCCTCCCCTCCATTTCTCCACCCTGTTGGGATTTTTAAAATGCACACACACATGACCAGAATGTTTCTTAAGTCACTAGGTCTGGGATTAAAACTATGTAGTCACCATGTGGATCCAGCTCCCTTAACCACTAGGCCATGGGGCTGGTCCTCACCCAGGTTTCTTGGTCAGGGTCCATGAGTTGGTAATAGTCCCTCACCCAGACCATCACAGTATCTTCCTGACCATATCCCTGAAAACATACACACACTATTGCCCACTAAGTTAAAGTATTTAAATATGCGTATGTGTATACACATTTATATGAATGGATACATATACATATGGGTTGTCGGAAAAGTCTTGGTTCATTTTTGCATAGAAAAACACATCATAACTTTTCTGACAACCCAATTCATATATAAAATTGCATCCCAGGCCTACTTTTTTTTCTGGATAAATTTTTGTTACAGAGCTCGTGCACTCGCTGGACAGACAGAAAGACAGAAAGAGAAATCAACCCCCAGGGGGATGGCCATACCGTAGTCTCTTCTCCTCCAGTCTTCTTTCAGGATTTTGGGCACACACGTACATGAGCCCAGTGTGAGTTTTAAGCCACAGGTCTGAGATTAGAACCGTGGTTGACTACATGGGAGTCCAGCAACGTAACCATTATGCCATCTGCTGGTCCCTCACAGCACAGCTACTTTATAAATACCAGCCAACAGCTGCCCACTGCTCTGAGAGCACAATCTGGGCTCCTACTATGGCTGGTGAAGAGGGCCTGCCTACCTCTCCACTAACCCTTGAGTTTACCACCCTAGTGCCACACTGCCTCCTTTCTGTCATTGAACCCCCCTCCCCCAAGCTCTCTTCTGTCTATCCCAAGGTCAGATGGCTATTTCCTCCACCTAAAGTAGAGGAATGACTGGTTCTTTTTTTTCTTTTTAAATGGCTTTATTGAGATAGAGTCCCTATACATTTTGTCCATGTAAAGCATGTAGTATATTCAGTGATTTTTGTTATATTCACAGAGCTGTGCAACTACCACCAGCATTTTCATCACCCCAATATGAAACCCCATATCCATTCGGTCACTCCCCAATCCCCACCACTCCTCTTTTTTTTTTTTTTAAAGAGGTTATTGCTATAGGGAGCATGCGCTTGCCAGAAAGACAGAGAGAGAGAGAGAGAGAGAGAGACAGAAAGCGAGAAACCACCCCCCAGGGGGGATGGCCACTTTGCAATCCCTCCTCCTCCATTCTCCTCTTGGAATCTTGTGTATGCATGCACATGTGCCTGGCATGAGTTTAAGCCACCGGGTCTGGGACTCAAATAGCAGTCAACTACATGGAGTCCAGCAACATAGCCATTATGCTAACTGCTGGTCCCAACACTGTAAGTTTTTATCTGCCTCAGGGCTTGTGCACAAGATTTTTACTCCTTACTATAGAGCTCTTTTCCCCCTGTGTGGCTGGTTCATTCCATCCTTCAGTGCTCAGTTTAAATGCAACCTCCCAAGAAAGGCCTTCCCTAAGTTTTCTGAAGTAGGTCTTCTCTCTCATTTCTAGTCCAGCACTGTTTCTCTCCTGCACATACCATGTGACATAATCTGTAATAATTTGTCTTAGGGATTATTTGATTAATGTCTTCCCCCAAAAAACATAACTTCTCCTGAGGTAGGGACAGTCTGGATTACCACTGTATTCTCTGACCCTGGCATAGTGTATAACAGGTGTTCTCTAAATATTTACTAAATGAATGAAGTATAAATTTTCAAGACAGGGACCACATCTTTTGTACCTGGCTACCTGAACACTGCAGGGCTAGAGACATGAAAGGAGAAATGACTTGAGCAAAGAACTGTCAATGTCACAGTGCCCACTACTGTAACCAGAAAGGCAGAAGCCACCTCCATGGACTGCCTTACCTACCTGGCTTTCTCACTTTCCAGCTCCTTCTGAATTCGGCCATACTCCTGGGCTTCTCTCAGCTTCTCCTGAACCTCCTGCTCCACTAGCCTTTGGGACTCATCCTGGGCCACTAGCTGAGACTTCAAGTCCTCCATCTGAAAAGTTAAGGGCATGAGGACGAAAATACAGGGCAGGGGCCAGCAGGAAGATGCTTCTTACCTAGGACTTGGGGTCCTGCAAGGTGTACCATAGACAGTGGCCATTTCTAATGCTTTGGAGGTTCCACCAATTCTTGTCCTTAACACACTGTTCTGAACCACCCTCTTTCTCAATGCCACTTGGCTTCATTATCTGTCTCCCCAGCCTCACGTATACTGCATAAAGGCAGGCATGAATAAAAATCCTGGATGAATATAACTACAAAGGCAAAGAGAAAGCCATTACTAACCCAGGACTCAGAGAGGCATAAGCTCAGCTCTGAGCACCCTTCAATTTTCCACTCAGTGGGGTGGCCTACCCTCACTCTCCTACGCTCAGAGAGCAGGGCCAAGGTTCTCCTTGTGCTCCAGGAGGGAGTGGGAGAGCCTAGCTATGTGGGGAGGGCTGTGGGGCTGGTGAAGAGTGGACCTGCTTCTGCAGGTCGATCTTGTCCTGCAGCAGGGTGCTGCCCTCTTCTCGGAGGGCAATGAGATCGTCTTGGTGCTGCCGTGCTGCCTCCTTCAGCTCCTGCTGAGCCTCCTGGAGCTGGGTCTGCAGCATCCCAGTGGTCTCCTGAAGAGAGAGATGACATTAATGAGAAGAAAGCTCCGGGGGCCTTGATCTCAACATCCATGAATCTAAATGCTGTATTTCTTTGTCGTTGGGATGGCAAAAACTGAGGCAAGAGCCAGTAATCCATACGTTTCCACCTCAACTCCTCACCTGCCATTCCCTCTTCTTCCTCACAAAGTACACTGGCTCCTTGGTTTGTTTGCCAGAGGCCATATGTGCTCAACAAAGAGAAAAGGAGAAAGCACTCCCCTTGGACATGGTCATACTGCAAACCCCTCCCCTCCATTTCTCCACCCTGTTGGGATTTTTAAAATGCACACACACATGACCAGAATGTTTCTTAAGTCACTAGGTCTGGGATTAAAACTATGTAGTCACCATGTGGATCCAGCTCCCTTAACCACTAGGCCATGGGGCTGGTCCTCACCCAGGTTTCTTGGTCAGGGTCCATGAGTTGGTAATAGTCCCTCACCCAGACCATCACAGTATCTTCCTGACCATATCCCTGAAAACATACACACACTATTGCCCACTAAGTTAAAGTATTTAAATATGCGTATGTGTATACACATTTATATGAATGGATACATATACATATGGGTTGTCGGAAAAGTCTTGGTTCATTTTTGCATAGAAAAACACATCATAACTTTTCTGACAACCCAATTCATATATAAAATTGCATCCCAGGCCTACTTTTTTTTCTGGATAAATTTTTGTTACAGAGCTCGTGCACTCGCTGGACAGACAGAAAGACAGAAAGAGAAATCAACCCCCAGGGGGATGGCCATACCGTAGTCTCTTCTCCTCCAGTCTTCTTTCAGGATTTTGGGCACACACGTACATGAGCCCAGTGTGAGTTTTAAGCCACAGGTCTGAGATTAGAACCGTGGTTGACTACATGGGAGTCCAGCAACGTAACCATTATGCCATCTGCTGGTCCCTCACAGCACAGCTACTTTATAAATACCAGCCAACAGCTGCCCACTGCTCTGAGAGCACAATCTGGGCTCCTACTATGGCTGGTGAAGAGGGCCTGCCTACCTCTCCACTAACCCTTGAGTTTACCACCCTAGTGCCACACTGCCTCCTTTCTGTCATTGAACCCCCCTCCCCCAAGCTCTCTTCTGTCTATCCCAAGGTCAGATGGCTATTTCCTCCACCTAAAGTAGAGGAATGACTGGTTCTTTTTTTTCTTTTTAAATGGCTTTATTGAGATAGAGTCCCTATACATTTTGTCCATGTAAAGCATGTAGTATATTCAGTGATTTTTGTTATATTCACAGAGCTGTGCAACTACCACCAGCATTTTCATCACCCCAATATGAAACCCCATATCCATTCGGTCACTCCCCAATCCCCACCACTCCTCAACCACCAAGCTGCTTTCTGTCCTCTAGGTTTACCTATTCTGGAGATGTCACGTAAATGGAATTACATATATTAGGTGGTCAGAAAAGTCATGACGCAGTTTTGCTTAGAAAAATGCGTCATGACTTTTCTGATAATCCCATATATACATATATACACATACCAAATATAAAGTATGTGGCCTCTTGTGACTAGGTGACTGGTTTCTTTTGCTTGGCATGTTTTTGAGGTTCATCTATGTTGTATAGAGGGCTGATTTTTCTTTCTTTCTTCCTTTCTTTCATTTTAAGATTTATTTAGGGCTGGCAGGTGGCGTGGTGGTTAAAGGTGCTGGGTTCCCACATGGCTGATCACAATTTAAGTCTTGGACCTGATGGCTTGCTTTCTTGCCTTCTCTTTCTCTCTGTCTCTGGTCAAATTAAAAAATAATAACAAATAGAATTAAATAAAATAAATTTTAAAAAAAGATTTATTAGGACCAGCAGATAGCATAATGGCTATGTTACTGGACTCCCATGTAGTCAACTGTGGTTCGAGTCCTGGACCTGGTAGTTTAAACTCACGCTGGGCACATGTGCATGCATACCCAAAATCTCAAGAGGAGAATGGAGGAGAAGGGGTTGTGGCATGGCCATTCCCCCTGGGGGGAGGGTCCTTTCTCACTTTCTCTTTGTCTCTCTCTTTCTGGCGAGCACAGGCGCCCTATAGCAAAAACCTCTCAAAAAAAAAAAAAGATTTATTTGTAATTATTATTCTTTTTGAAACTTGCTATAGGGCACATGTACTCACCAGAGAAAGACAGAGAAAGAGAGAGAGAGGCTAAATGAGAAAGCAAGTCACCAGGTCTGGTCAACCACACAGTTCAGTGCTCTAGCCACATGCCACCTGCTGGCCTGGGCTGGTATCTTTTTAACCAAGTCTCAGCTCAAATGCCACTTTCTTAGTGAGGCCTTCTCTAAGTATCCTGTCCAAATTGGCCTCCTCTGAGTCACTCTCAATAATATCACCCTACTTGATTCCTTTACTTTTCTTTTTCACTAACTGTAATGATCTCACTCAACTTGAGTCTGCTCGTTTTTCGGTCTATCTCCACCACCAGAATGTAATTTTCGGGGCCAGCAGGTGGTGCAATGGTTAAGATGCTGGCCTCCCATGTGGTCAACTGTGGTTTAAGTTCCAGACCCAGCAGCTTGAAACTCACACTGGGCATGTGTGTGCATGTGCAAAATCCCAAAAGGAGACGGGAGGAGAGGGATTGCCGTGTGGCCATCCCTCCTGGTGGGACTTCTCACTTTCTATCTGTCTCTCTGGTAAGTGCATGTGCCATAATAGCAAAAATCTCTAAAAACAAACATAAACAAACAAAAAAACAGAATGTTAATTTCCTCAAGGGCAAGGACCAGGCCTTCATGCTCACTATTGTACACACCTTTTATGCACTTGTTGAGTGTTAACGCTTAGCACTTAGCATGAAGGCCAGAGAATGGGAAATGAAAAGAATCATCCAGTGTTCATGGGCAAAGGAGTATTCCTTTTGCTTCCTGACCTGGGACCACTCATCATACCTGCTCCTTTAACTTCTGAACCTTCATGTCCTGCCTCAGCCGTTCCAGTTGCTGGCTGGCATCTGCCAGCTCCTTCTGGGTCTGCAGCAGAGTCTCCAGGAGGGACACTCTCTCCTTCTCTGTTTCCAGCTGCATCTGTGGAGAGGCAGAAAGGACTTGCTGACTCAACGTGATCATGCTCACCCATGAGACCACAAGCACATCCCAGCTGTTCCAGGGCTCTTCCAGCAAGCAGGCTGGGGGCTGAGGGCGAAGGAAGGTCTGGGCCCACTGATTCAGAACCAGGAAGTGTAAAGATTGCAAGCTGACAGGATGTGGTAAATGCTAGCCCTCCCCCAGGAAGTGTGGCGGACTGCTAGCCCTGCAGCTAACGGTGTGGATCGTCCTGCTCATGGGTGGCAAAGAGGGTATCTACACTCTTCTGGAAGCCCCTCTGTGGCATCACTCTTGGGAGTGGGAAAGGAAGTGGTCAAAGGTAAGGAGACCACAGACTGAACATGCAGCTCCGACCCTCCTAGCCTCCAACCTGGCATAGGGCGCTCTCGGCCTGGGTCCGTTCTTCTTCCCTCTGTGCTCGGATGGCTTCAGTTTCTATCTGCTGCTCCCTCAGTCTCATTTCCAGCTCCATCTTTTCCCTCTCTAGGTTCTCCAGAGCCTTAGCCAGCTCCTGCTGGTGCTGGCAGCGCTCTTTCTCCTGGTCACATGAAAGAAATGCTGTGAGATCGGATGGGTGGGACGAGGAGACAGGAGGAGAACTGGACTGGAACAAGAAGTCTCCCTACTAGTCATTAGCTATGTAACCTTGGTGCCTCTCTGTTTCCTTGTCTGCAAAGTCTCTGCCTTATCCATCTCAACAAATTTTATGAGAGTCAAAATAAAATCTATAAAGAATTTGGGTGACCAGCAGTTGGTGTAATGGCTATGTCGCTGGACTCCATGTAGTTGATCGTGGGTTCGAGTCCTGGACCCGGTGGCTTAAACTCATGCCGGGTGAGTGTGTGTGTGTATGTGCGCCCAAGATCCCAAGAGGAGAATGAAGGAGAAGGGATGTGGCATGGCCATCACCCCCCCCCCGGGGGTGATTTCTCACTTTCTCTTTGTTTCTCTGTCTTTCTGGCAAAGCGCATGCACCCTATAGCAAAAACCTCTCCAAAAAAAAATTTTATAAAGAATTCAAATGATACTATACATGTAAAAGTGCATTCTAAAATGCAATCATCCCTATATAAGCTACAAATATGATATATATATACATACATAATAAATATAAATATAAATATAAATATTGAAAAATCACCCCTAAGAGGGATAGCCATGCCTCAGTCCCTTCTCCTCCATTCTCTTTCCAGGATCTTAGGTACATGTGCACATGTGGCCAGCCTGATTTTCTTTTCTTTCTTCTTTTAAAAAATAATTATTTATTTAAAATTTATTTATTTATTTTAATTTGACCAGAGAGAGAGAGAGGGAAAGTAATAAAGCAAGCCACCAGGTCCGTGACTCGAACTGTGGTCAGCCATGTGGGAATCCAGCACCTTTAACCACCACACCACCTGCCAGCCCCCATGTCAGCCTGATTTTCAAGCTGCCAAGTCTGGAACTTGAACCGTGGAGCTGGCCATGTAGGATCTAGTGCCTTAAACTTCATGTCACCTGCTGGCTCTCAAATATCTGTTATTTTTAAAGCAACTGTGTCATGGTTGATGGTTGTAACAAAGAACAGATGGCTGACTGTGGTTCTCTGTTGCCCACTCCTATGCAAGATTGGAGAGTTAGAGTCAGGCCTAGCCCAGCAATGATGTCTCCCTATATTATATAATAGCATTAGGACAGGGTTCTTCCAGAGGTCCCCAGTGACCCAAGACTTTCCCGATATCCCTGAGTAGTGCAAGACCCTTTTATTAGGTTCTAAGGACAGAGGTAAAAGGCTCTTGAGTAGGGCTGGGTGGCAATTTTTAATTTACCACGACTAATGTGGCCTCAGCCACTTTCTCAACATTCCTGTGCCTCAGTTTCCTCATCTATAAAAAATGGGTGGCCCAGCCATGACTGTAGTGGTAGTATGCTGCTCTGCGATGCTGTAAGCCATATGGAGAACTGGAGCTTGGTTGCTGGGTTGACCTGCACACACGAGGCACATGCATACAGGCTTGCATGCCAGTGTGTCCAGATCCTGGATGGCTGGGAAGGCTCGGACAATCAGGCATGAGACCCTATTCAGGGTACTTGTCTTTCTCTCTCTACTGAAATAAGAAAACTTAAAAAAAGTTGCTTCTTGGGACCAGCAGGTGGCATGGTGGTTAAGGTGCTGGATTTCCACATGGTCGACCTTGATTCAAGTCCCAAACCTGGTGGTTTGAAATTCAAGCATGTGTGTGCATGGCCAAAATCCCCAGAGGAGAATGCAGGGGAAGGGATTGTGGCATGGCCATCCCCCGGGTGGGTAATTTCCCACTTTCTGTCTCTCTTCTCTCCCTCTGTCTCTCTGGCAAGTGTACAGATACTATAGTAAAAATCTCTCTCAAAAGTAATTGCTTCTCGGGAACCAGCAGTTAGCATAATGGCTATGTCGCTGGACTCCCACGTAGTCGACCGCGGTTCGTGTCCCGGACCCGGTGGCTTAAAACTCACGCCGGGTGCGTGTGCGTGCGTGCCCAAGATCCCGAGAGGAGAATGGAGGAGAAGGGATTGTGGCATGACCATCCCCCCTGGGGGGTGATTTCTCGCTTTCTGTCTCTATGTCTCTCTCTGTCTGTCTGGCGAGCGCACACGCCCTACAGTGAAAATCTCTCAAAAAAAAAAAAAAAAGTAATTGCTTCTCTTTTATTCCCCTTTATTAATGATAGAGCACATGTGTGTGCATGTGAAAAAGAAAGGGAGAGAGAAACAAGCACCCTCCACAGGGTCTAGCCATGCCACAATCTCCTTCCTCTAGTTCCAACTTATTGCATCCTAGGCACTTACATGCATGTTTGGTGTGTTTCAAGTTGACCAGGGCAAGAATTCAAACCATGGTCACCATGTGGGATCCACCCTCTCTTGAATAGTGGTGTTACCTCTGCACCAAAGAGCTGGCCCACTTCTCTATATATACAGAAAAAGAAACAGGAATAACAACCTCCTAAGGTTGCTTGGAGGATTGAGACTGCAATCCCTTCTCCTCCATTCTCCTCTCGGGATTTTTGGGCACACATGCACATGCGCCCAGCCACCAAGTCCAGAACTCAAATTGCTGTCGACTACATGGGAGTCCAGTGACGTAACCATTGTTCCATCTGCTGGTCCCTCTAATTTGCTTTCTATCATATCCTCAACCTCCATCATTGCACCACACAAGATTATAATCCTTAAAATTATCAGATAGCATTTAAGTATGTTTCCTGTGTTTACAAAATAGAAGGCAGCACTGAAAATATAAATTATGGGGAAGAGCCTAATAATGGCTAAGACATGAACAAAATAATTAAACAGAATGTCTAGAGATAAAAAATATTAAAGTGACATTTCAAACTTGGTGAATAGGGACTAGCAGGTGGCATGGTGATTAAGGTACTGAAATCCAACATAGCTGACGGCAGTTTGAGTCCTGGACCTAGTGGCTTGCTTTCTCACTTTCTCTCTCTCTGTGTCTCTCTGGTGAGCACATGTGCCCTATAGCAAAAACTTAAAAATAAATTAATGAATTAAAAACTTGGTGAATAGACTAAACATCAGATTAGACACAGCTGAAACGGGAAATTAGTGACTAAATGACAAATCTGAAAAAAATCATCCAGAACGCAACCCCATGTATTGATATATCCTAGGATCCACTCTTAAGTTTCTGTACACACCCAAAACATCAACAATAATAATGCCTAAACGCAGATACAGAGCTTCTACATGCCAGGAACTATTAGTATTTTTCATATGCTAACTCCAGGTAAAAGCTGGATTTTACCACTTGGTGACCAAATTTTGCTCTCTTAAGTGGCAATATCCGACCACAAGTCAGCAGGTGGGGCACTCACTGAGGCCATGTCTGCCTCCCCCACCCCCAAGCCATGTCCACCACCTACCCATTTCTCCTGGAGCTGGTTCACTTCCTCCTCATGGGCTATCCTCTGCTGCTCCAGGGCAGCCTGCCCCTCCTGCTCCGCCCGGGCCAGCTCTCTGGCAGCTGTGACCCGTTCCTGCTCTGCCTGGCTCCGTTCAGTGTCCAGTTCCAGCTTTAGGCACCTCACTTCCCCTAAGGTGCCAGGGATGCGATCAGGTCTCCGAGCCTCTGTCCCACTCCCTTCACATAGTAATAGTCTCCCTTTCCTCCCCACCTCATTATGTAGTTCCATCTCAGAGACTCTGAGCTTGGTTGGAAAAGAACCTCTACTCGCCTCCCATTGCCTTCTGGGTTTCAACAGCCCACAGAACAGAGCAGGGCATTCCAGGCCAAGGAATGGAGAATCCATCCCATTGGGTTCTCACCTTGGATTACTTCCTTGGCTTGAATGACAGTTTGAACCTGGACCTCCAGTTGCCCCTTGATGACCTCTATCACAGAATTTTGTTGTTGGGCTTCAAATAGACTGCTTTCCAGTAGCTCCTTGGCTGAGCTGTGAGGTTCAGGAATCAGGAAGAGTTCTTACCCATAAAGTCCCTTACTTTTCCTTCAGAGGAGTTGTGGTCTAACTAATGGCTACCTGGAGAAGCTCAGGGGCAATTATACATTCATATCTCATTTAGAACTCAGATACTTAGGACCGGGAGCTTATCTTGCTACCCCTTGCCTTGCAAAGCTCTCTCTGTGCTTGGTTGACCTGGGTTTTAGCTCTACCTGAGCCCCAGTAGTTGTTCAGTGAGATCCTGCCGGTCCCGCTCCACTGCTTGCAGTCGCACCTCCAGAGCTGCCCTCTCTCGTACCAGGGCTTCCTTCTCCTGGATGGCCCTGGCAAACACGTCTTCCTGTCGCTTTGCCTCCTGACGCAGCTGCTCCAGCTGAGCTGTGGCTGCCTCCTGCTGGTGACAGGCCTGCGGGGAAGAAATTGGTGAGGTATAGAGCAAAGGCAAGATTCCCCTGGGGCTCCTATCACAGGCTTGGCCTTTCAGAGATTCTGGGCCCAGCTCTGTGAGCCCAGAGCATTGCTCACTCAATACCATGTGACATTTATCTATTGCCCTGATCAACCCATAGCGCCCCCTGTCCAGGAAGACTGCCCTCCATTAGCAAGACCCTGTGTTATGGAGAGCAGGACACCTAGCACTAAGGAGTGTTTAGTTTTGAGAAGTAACGCACATACACAATGCCATGAAGAGAGTGATCAGTATCCTGAGGATGACATTCTGAGAAGGGAGATTATGTCTAATTATTAGGGCAATGAGAGGTTTGGTAGAAGAGAAAGATGACCTTTGAGCCAGGTCATTCATTGGTTCAGGAAAAAATCTACTGAGCCCCTGCTATGTGTTAAGTATGGTGCTAAAAGATGGAGAAATAAACGAGGCCAGCAGGTGGCACAGACGTTAAGGTGGCTGGATCCCACATGGTGGACTGTGCAGTTCAAGTCCTGGATCAGGCAGTCTGAGAAACTGCTGGGCATGCATGTGTGGGTGCCTCAGCTCCCAAAAGAATGGAGGAGAAGGAATTGTGGCATGACCAACACTTCTGGGAAGATGATTTCTCACTTTCTCTCTATCTCTTTCTCTCTCCAGTGAGGACACATACCCTACAGAAAAGAAAAAGAAAAAAAAAAAAAAGCTAAAAATGAAGTGAAATAAAATAATAGTAAAAAACAAAAAAATGATGAAATCGTGCCTTCGAGGAGCTTTGGAGAAAGGTAAATGGATAATTATGAAGGTGTGGTGGTTGAAGTAAGCATGAGGTGCTCCCAGAGCACAGAGAAGCATCTACTTAAACGGGGTATGAAGCAGTGGAGAACCAGTAAAAGATTCCTATAGGAATTCCTTAAAAAATCAGAAGATAGGGGAACCAGCAGTTAGTGTAATGGCTATGTTGTTGGACTCCCACGTAGTCGACCACAGTTCGTGTCCCGGACCCGGTGGCTTAAAACTCATGCCGGGCGCGTGTGCGTGCGTGCCCGAGATCCCGAGAGGAGAATGGAAGAGAAGGGATTGCGGCGTGGCCATCCCCCCTGGGGGGTGATTTCTTGCCTTCTGTCTCTCTGTCTCTGTCTGTCTGGCGACCGCATGCACCCTATAACGAAAACCTCTCAAAAAAAAAAAAAATCAGAAGATATACAGAACTACTAACAGTCATTTCTAGAAAGTAAGACTCTCACTTTCTGAATTGTTCCTGTATTATGCTTTTCCTACAAGGAGCATGCATTACACCTTGACATGGTGGTGTGTTCTGTCTTCTCACCTCACTTAGTTTCTCTTGAACAACTTCTTTCTCTTCTTGGATCCCCTTGAGTTCTGCCTGCAGCTCAGCCCCAGTGTCCTCTGCTTTCTGTAGCTGGGCCTCCAGGTGAGTTTTCTTCTCCCAGAGGGCTTCCCTGTTCCTTTCTGCCTCTGCCAGGTCCACCTGCAAGGCGTTCCTCGCCTGCTCTGCAGCCTCCAGTCTTCTGCAGATGGATTCGTTCTCCTGTTCCAACTACTGGCCGAAAAGGAAAGGGGTACAGGGTATCACAGACAAACAGTTACCATTCAGGGATCAATGCTGACCAAGATCCTAGTGAGATAAGAATCTGCTCTCCAAAGAGGAACAAAGGAGTGCTTCTAAGATGGGGAAATCCATTCATTTGATCTAGTGCCTAGATTCCAGGTACCTGATGGGCTGGATGCTAGGGACAGAGATGAAGGCAAACTTCTGCTCTCAAAGAATTCCGAATAATGTGACATACATTTCTGGGGCTCAAGGGAACAGGAATAGTACGGAAGTTCTCTTACTAAAATTATAGGTGAAATTTGTAACATGTAGAGAAGATTCTTTGGAATTTAGACTCTTCAGCAGATCCTTTTCTGATTGTTACTGCTATTATCTCACCCAACAAGGTTAAAAACCTTCTTTCCAGAGGACCTGGGCCCCTTCATAGCCCTGGTGATTCACTGTAAGTGGGGGAGGGAAAAATTTCTACTGGCTAAGTCCAATCCTTACAGCCTTTGCTCTCCTTTGCACTATAAATGTTCCTTTCACTCATTTCAGAACTAAAGTTGGAAGCTAATCTGTCCTGGGCTGATCCATTAAGGATTATGCCCTGTCATGGGCATCAACTCTGTACCACTGGTTTATCTTCCATCAGACTCCAGCTCTACCCTGGGGATCAGAGAGGCCTGTGCTCACCTGGAGAAGCTGCTGGTTCAGCCCAACTTTATCTAAAGCCAGAGCCTCATTTAAGGCACTGAGCTTGACGGCTGCAGCCCGAAGATCAGCCACTTCTGCCTTCAAACTAGTCTCAGAACTCGACAGCTCTGCAATGGACTGTTCTGCCTAAAAAGAGAGAGGGTTAAAGGGCCTATTTCAGTTTCCCAACATACACAGTTCACATTCCCAACACCTGCTGCTTTTTTTTTTTTTTGTACAGAGATCAGTTAACAGTCCATTCCCTCCCTTACATTTTAAACAAGTTTCCTTCTTCCTTCACACATTCACCCACTAAAGAGTAAGACAGGCATTCAGAGTACAGAGGCACAGACATAAAGACGTATAAATAACTTCTATTAATGACACCATAGAAAACGTAAGCAGAGGGTTCTGGGAACTCCAGGCATTAATTCCTTTGAGAGAGTCAAAATGCTTGGTAGATGATGACAATTAAGTTTGGAATTGGGAAACCAAGAACACTTTGGTGTTAAAGAGGGAACAAAGAAGCAGTCAAGGTAAAGAGAAAACTATATTCCAAGTATCAGAGTCATGACAGATCATGGTGTAGCTGAGAATGCAATTAATGCTATGCGGCAGGAGCAGAGGATGTGTGGAGTTAGGATGGGATTTGTGGGTGGAAGGAGAGGGAACACAGCTTGGGGCAGATGTGGCACCACAGAGCTGGGAAACTGAATGCAATGAAGAGACCAACGCAACCAGACTTGTACTCCAGAAAACTCATTTTACTTCCAATATATTGGATATGTTGGGAGAGAGAGAACCCAGAAATAGTCTAGTAATTGAGGAAGGAAATAAGACAGGTCATAGCTTGAAGGGTGAAGGAGGCAGGCTGCATGCCTCTTTCCTGAGAATACAGTTTTCTAAGCTGCCCACCAACAAGAAAGGAGAGAAGGCCACACACCCTCGCCAGCGCTGCAGTCACTTCGGTTTGCTCTTGCCTCAGTAACTCCCCTTCCAGGCGACTTGACTCCAGGGTTTCTCGAAGAGTGATCAGTTCACTGAGTGATTCTGACTGTTTGGCTTCCAGGCCCACCAGGGTCTCCTGACTAGGATGGAAAGGAGAGGAGGCTAAGGAAGTCTTGGGGAGTGGCTAAACCCCAAAAGGTAAGATAACTACTCATGCTATGGAAAAGAATGAGAAAGGTCTCTAAAAACTGGTAAGGAAAGACATATCCAGTTAAAAAAAGCAAAATGCAAAAAAAGTAAATACAGTGTACTCCTTTTTATGCAAGGAAGTTGGGGGAAGGAAGAATATATGCTTATCTTTGCATGAAGTAGCATTGGAAAGACAAACAAGAAATTAATGGAATCACATGCATGTATTATTAAGTCAGATGAATTAATTTTTTTCTTAATTCATGATAGAATGCGTGCACGTGCACATGAGAATGGGAGAGAAAGGGAGGGTAGACTCTCCAGAGGACAGTCTGCCACGATCCCTTTCTCTAGTCCTACAGCCTCTCAGGTCCTGGGCACTCCCATGCATGCCCTGGGGTTTTAGGTGGACAGGCCAGGGCTTTGAGCCAGGTTGCTCTGTGGGATCTAGCTTCTCTTGAGCAGCACATTAGTACAGTGCCGCAGAGCTGGCCCAAGACAAATTAAATTTAAAAGCAATTATCTGGGTGGTCTGTTCACCCTTCCACTTGGTACAGAGGAGATCATTTCTGGCACAAGTCATGACTCTTTGGATAATCCTTTGAGCTGCCAGTATTCAGGCCTAGCTGGTACAAGGAGCTGGGGCACAGGAAAGGGGACACACCAAAGATGAAGAAAATACATTCTTGCTACCTGTCCCTAAAAACCTACCATATGTTAGGCTCTATGTTGGCATTTTCTTTTTTAAATTTGCCAGAGGGCATGTGCACTCACCAGAGACAGACAGAGTGGAAGTGGGAGAAAGAAAGCACTCCCCTGATGAAGCATGATCATGCCACATACTCTCTCCTCCATTTCTCCCTCCTTTCAGATTTTTGGGCATGTACACACATGCACCCAGCATGTTTTCCAAGATACAAGGTCCAGGACTCAAACAGTCCAGTTGGCCCCATAAGATCCAGCTCCTTTAACCACTAGGCCGTGGGCTGGCCCACTTTAGCATTTTCTGAAATACTGCTTTAATCTTCTTCAACAACCCTGTCATTCCCATTTTACAAATAATTTGCCTAGGTAGCCAAGCCATTAATTAATTAGTTGTTTGTTTAGAGTTCTTTTTTGGTATAGGACACATGCGCTCACCGGAGAGACAGAGATAGAGAGAGAGAATGCAAGAAATCACCCCCCTCCCCCATGCAATCCTTTCTCCTCTACTCTCCTCCTGGGATTTGGGACATGCACACATATGTGCCCAGAGTGAGTTTAAGCCACTGGGTTTAGGACATAAACTGTGGTCGACTACCTGGGAGTCCAGCAAGGTAACCATTACACCATCTAGTGGTCCCAACTGGGCCATAATTTAAACCAAGCCTTTTGGCTAAAGTCCTTGCTTTTCCTGGGCTGGCCCTGTAGGCTAGTGGTTAAAGATATTGGATTCTACATGGCTGGCTGCAGTTCGAGTCCTGGCCCTGGAGGCTTGAAAAATATGCTTGGCACATGTGCCTGAAATGTACAAAATCCTAAAAGAATGGAGAAATGGAGAAAGAATTGCAGTGTGACCACTCTGCACTCTCTCTGTTTCTCTCTGGAGAGTGTACTTACTCTCTGGCTACTAAAATGAAATAAAGTCTTTGCTTTTTCTGTGATACCATATAGAAGAATTTACAAATAGCTGGGTCCACTTACTTAGGATTTCCTTCTTGACCACTCATTTCCCATTATTTCCCAATATGTCTTACCCTTTGGCCAGGCCAGCCTATTCTAAACATGCCAAAAACTTTCCTGCCTTCTTTTCTTTACTAATCTACCCCTTCTCCCACTCTCTGCCAAGGCCCTGCTCAATGTCTATCCCCTCTTCCATTAAGCTTTCCTTGGTTCTCAATAATTAACTGTTACTCCTATGGTCCCAAGTGACCTAGCTTAAAGCTCTATTCAGCTCGTATTTCATCTGGCCTCATGTCATAGTTGGCTGGTTACTTGTCTGTCTTCTCCGTTAGACTGAAAGCTCCTAGGGATTGAGGCCTGTGTCTTATTCATATCTGTATTCCCTAGAGAACCTCATCCCTTACAGATGCTCAGCAAAGTCTGGATAAACTTTCTGAACTGTCTTTCTGCAAAGGCAGGAGCAATAAGCTGATGGGAACCTGCTGCATCCCAAGCTTTCTAAAAGTCCCCACTAAAAGTCCTTCAGTGAGGGCAGGAGTGAGATGAGCAAGGAGGGGACAGGTTACACACAGGCGCTCCCTTTCCAAGACAGCCAGGTGCAGCTCCTCCTGCTGCTCTTCCTTCTCCCCCTGAGCAGAGTCTCCCTGTAGCTGAAGCTCCATGTTTGTCCTTCGCAGCCTCCAGGCCTCCTGTTCCAGCACCTCCAGTTGCTGCTGCAACTCTCCCCTGGCCTTCTGCAGCAGCTCTCGTTCCCTGGAAGGAGACCAGTGATGAGCAGAGACCAGGACCTAAAATCCTTGCTAAAGGCAGATATCAAAGGAGAGAGGACCCCACTTCCTTTCAACATCCCATCTTTTTTTTTTCTTTTTGAGAGTTTTTTTGCTATAGGGCGTGTGCACTGGCCAGGAAGACAGAGAGACAGAGAGACAGAAAGCGAGAAATCACCCCCCAGGAGGGATGGCCATGCCACAATACCGTCTCCTCCATTCTCCTCTTGGGATCTTGGGCACGCACGCACACACACCGGGCATGAGTTTAAGCCACCGGGTCCGGGACTCAAACCACAGTCGACTACATGGGAGTCCAGCGACATAGCCATTATGCTAACTGCTGGTCCCATCAACATCCCATCTTTAATAATTTTGACCAGCTCATTTCACACTACTTCCCAGTATATCTTTTTTTTTTAAGAATTATTTTATTTAACATTTAAAAAAATGTATTTGTTTTATTTTAATTTGACCAGAGAGGGACAGAGCAAGAGAGAGAAAGTGAGAAAGCAAGTGACCAGGTCCGGGACTTGAACTGTGGTCAGCCATGTGGAAGTCCAGTGCCTTTAACCATTCCACCTGTCAGCCCCGTTTCCAGTATATCTTAACCCAAACTCAGCACTGAGCAGCTCTGGGTCTCAGGGTCAGCAGGATCAGCCAACAGGAAATGTGATGGGAACGAGTAAATGGCTGCATGAGGACTGAGTCCGGGGTGAAAGGTGGAATGAACAGCCCGCCTGCTCACTTGCTGAGGGAGTCCACCTCTCCCTGGAGGTCCACAGTCTGCCCTGCCAGAGTGTCCCGCTCCCCAGTGAGCTTCTGTAGTCGCTCCCTCAGGGCTTTGCCTTCTTCTTCCCACTGATCATGCTGCTGCTGTAATAAGCTCACAGCCTCCTGGCAGCCTGAAAGCTGCTGCCTCAGGTCCTGCGGAAGGAGAGCAACAGAAACTAGATGATGAGCCAAAGGGCAAGAGCAAAGGCAGGGTGTCAGAAGCCTGAAAGTAGGGCTGGACAAGGGGACTAGGGACTGGGAAATCAAGGGCAAGCTGAGGATGGAGTGGTGACCAGTTGAGAAGACAGAGAATCAGAGATTATTGGACATTTGTGGAATTGCAGCCTTAGAGTTCTTCAAAGGTTCAGGAAGATGGGGTATGTGATGTGTGCTTGAGACCCTCGAGTTGGGAACCACTTACCTATAATCTCCCAGGGCTCTGGCTGCCAATCACAGTACAATGCAAAGACTGCATGCAAAGTGAAGCGTGCTACTGGCAGAGAACGTGCTGCTCCCACAGCGCAAGTGGGCAGACATGGAGATTCTCATGGGCACTCTGGGGTGTTGACAAAGCCCCTCATAACTGGTCAACAAAGTGGAAGGAGCAGTCTAGGCTAAGGAGGTGGCTGGAACACAGATCAGTTTAGATAGCCCTGCTGTGACTCACATGGCCGAACGTATTTTTTTGAGTGGAAGGGGCCGTGGATTAGAAATAAATGTAGAAATAAACACACAAAGACACATAAGTAGGGAAAAGCAAAGATTGGGTGGTTCAGACTCTTCTGATGGAGGCAGTTCTGGTCCTGAGCCGTTTTTAAGTTTATTTTTTTATAGGGAAAAAAGGGAGGAAGGGGAAGTAGAATGTAAAGTCCAGCATTTTTAGATGTTAATCAGCTAAAGATGTAAAACCTTTGGAGCTCTGTAGTCTTATACAAGCTTTTTAAAATTTTCTCGGGCCTTCTTTGGCTAACACATAGTTTCTTTTAACCAATACTGCCTTGCAGTTTTGACACAGAGACAGACATGTGTCCTTTGTTAAACGCTTTCACTAGCTTTGCAGTGACAGCCCAAAGAACCGTGTTTTTGCATGTGTTTATTGTGTTGCTCAGATCTGGCTGCTCCCCACACCCGACCCCTATGGCTGAGGAGGAATGCTGGGGTTCTCACCTGCACAGCCTCGCGTCTCTGAGTCAGCACTGAACGCACCAGAGTAAGAGTCTTGTCTGGGTCCTGGGAATCAAACTGGGAAGGGAAGCCACTGGTGTCCAATTCCAAAGAGCACTCATGATGAGAGCCTTGGCCCATATTGTCCCCTTCTTCTACCATGGCCTGAAACCCAACACAGACAGGTCATCACCCTCCAGACCAAGATGGAGACCAGACAGAGGACTTACACCAGAGCCTGGACAAACCGGACATTGTCCTGCTCAGGGCCTCTCCCCAAGGAGTAGAAGGGGGAGAGCTGAGAGCATCAAGGCTGGTTCCTTTGACTCTCTTTGGTCACCCAAACCAGGTTTAATAACAAGGCTAGAGCAACTTTGGGACAACAGTAAATTAAGAAATGCAGGAAGAGAGAGATTAAGGTAATGACCAGAATCCAGTTTTCACCCTGAGAACTGCACCTGGCAACAGGAAACAGCCCGTCCTGCTCACCAGACAGAGCTAGGACCTGAGTCCCTTAGAGTTCCAGTCTTCATACACTCAGGAGAACTCATCCCCCAAGACACTACACCCAAACACCTCGGAGCCTGGGAACCTAGGCATGACCAAGAGGACATAAAGGTCTGGAGAGAAGGATGAGGTATAACCTGGTTACCACGAACAGGAGGCTTATCATTACCTGGGTTATATCCTTGATCACCTGCTGTAAAGACAGCTTCTCCTCTTGGGCATTCTTACTAAGAGATGCCTCGTGTTCCATTAATTCTGCGTGGTTTGTCTCCTGGACAGGGAACAGAATGGAGCCTCAGAGCCAAATTCCCAAAAGAGAATTTATAATTCCAGACCCTAAATTAACCAAAGCCTCATTCTGTCTATTCTGTCAAACTAATTTTTCCCCTGACTACATGCGAATGCTACCTGTTGTCCAAAGAGTCTGAGGGCAATATGATAAGGGGATAAGAAGTTCATATTCAGTGGTAAAAACTTCCAAATGAGACTGCCTAGATTAGGGTTCTGCACCTTAGGCAACTGCTTTGAGCTCCTTCTCTTTGAAACAGGAATAATTAACAGTAATTACTTCATAAGTTTGTTTTGAGGCTTAAATTAATAAATACATGTAAATGACAACACAATGCCTGGAGCAACGTGAATGCTCAGTCATTGTGTGCTCTTATCAGATGCTAAGTGGCTGCTGTCTCTAAGCAGTAAATCGATACTTGACACTTAACACCAATGAAGCAGAGAAACCTCTAGCTCAGAAGCCCGAAACAAAATTTCCTTTCTTCCTTCCTATCATATCTGTGTTAGTAAAGGCCTGACTTGTAGCTATGTTGTATTTGGCCTACACATAATTTGAAACATTTGTAGGCTGAAAATTTTTGCATAAAAATATGAATTTATGGCTTTTCTCAAAAACTTAACAAATGAGTAACACCTAGCCTCCATTCCTACATGGCGATAATTTACTGAAGTTGAATACTGGATGCCTCATTTAGAGGAGACATTTATTCTTCAGGGTCCTACAGTCCCTACCATTTCTCACTGTTTAATACTGAGCACAAGTGTCCCCTGCAGTACTGAACGTTAAATATGACGGTACTACAAAATAAGAATTTGTATACAACAGAACCCACTTTGCTCATTTATAGTGTCTGAGCCCTGTGGATATTTGAATGGGTAAAAAAGGAATCAAAAAGGCACAAACAAATCTGGCTCCCAGCTGTCCTAGGCTGGATGAAATAATTAGGGGTATGTGCATGGATAGGGGCTCAAGAGTCACCTAAAATCAGGGATTTAAAGGCTCGCAGAGATCAAAGGAACATGCACTAGGCTATAGGTCCTGATGTGCAGCCTTAAAGAATTTTTCTTTTTTAAAAAAATTATTTATTTTAATTTTTAAAAATATTCATTCATTTTAATTTGACCAGACAGAGACAGAGAGGGAAAGTGAGAAAGCAAATCACCAGATCCAGGACTTGAACCGTGGTCAATCATGTGGGAGTGCCCAGCATCTTAACCACCATGCCACCCACTGGCCCCAAGAACCCCTTTTTTAATTTCCAGAAGGTGCATGTGCTCACCAGAGAGGGTGGGAGAGAAAGTGAAAGAGACAGAATGAGAGAAAGAGAGAGAAAGTACAGTCCCAACAGGGTGTGGTCATGCCATAGTCCATTTTTCTTTCCCGTCAGGATTTTGGGCATGCATGCACACGCATCCAGCATGTGTTCCAGAGCTGGGATTCAAACCAAGGTCAGTCATGTGGGTTTGGCTCCATTAACCACTGTACTACGAGGCCAGCCTGGAGAATCCTTTAGATAACATCCCTGACAGCTGTTAAGCCAGTGACTAAAACCTCACTCCTTTCCAAGACTGTTCCGCTACTAAACAGCTCCATCTGCAGGCCAAGATCTACCTCTGTAACTTCTAGCCATTTACATTGGTTTTGCCCCAGAAAACACTAAACAAGTCAACTCTCTTTTCCCCAGTGTCACAATGCTTTAGATACGTAAAGGCAGCCATCGTGTCCTCAGGCCCTTTCTTCTCCAGGCTAAACATTGCCATACTCCTCGGTTTTTCACATACAACTACATTTTGATTCTCCCCACACATCCTCATCCTGGTGACGCACTAATTTGCCAGGTGTCTCTTAGTGTATGTACACCTCCCTTTGATAAGGATACATGGCATACGTGTACCATTGTAATTTGCCAAGGAATACAATAGGGAGAGTAGACAATTAATAATATGTATTAAAAAAAAATAAACAGGGACCAGCAGTTAGCGTAATGGCTATGTCGCTGGACTCCCATGTAGTCGACCGCAGTTCGCATCCCGAACCCAGTGGCTTAAACTCATGCCGGGTGCATGTGCGTGCATGCTCAAAATCCCGAGGAGAATGGAAAAGGGATTGCAGTGTGGCCATCCCCCCTGGAGGGTGATTTTTCGCTTTTTGTCTCTCTGTCTCTCTCTGTCTTTCTGGCAAGCGTACGCGCCCTATGACAAAAACCAAAAAAAAAAAAAAAAAAAAAGTTAATTTTCACATTTAGCAAATTTTTTTTTTGGCTGTACAGGATTTCATCATGGAATATTTAACTGGTATCCTGCACTAACTGTCCATAAAGAACAAAGAACCTATAAGTCCAACCCCAACTGCTTTCCAGAAAAGAATCATATACCAGAATCTCCATTGTCTCTCTCAGAGCCTTTACCATCTTTTCATAATCTTCATTTTGCTTCTGGGATTGGGTCAGTAGAGCAGAGAGCTCCGTCACCCTAAGGAGAAGAGCACAGCACTGTCACCTGGGCAGCCCACACATGTGGACAGAGCAACTATACAGCACACCCCAGCCCCAACACAGACACTCCCACTGCAGCCTCCCCAGAATCCCTTGGGTGCCCCCAACCCCTCTGCGTTCTCTGAATACCAAATGATGCCATAGCCTTGAACTTGGGGGGGAGCCAAAAGCCACTCAGACACATGCAGGGATTTACCACATCTCAAGGCTGGAACACGTGTTTGGGGGCCCAGGAACTGAAGGAAAGCCCTGGCCCAGGCCCTTCCAGGCCTCGCTTGATCTTGAAGTCAAGCACCCTGAAGCCAATAAGAACATCAGAAATGCCACATGGGATAGTCCCAAGATCCCTCCAGCCTCAGGGTCTGACTTTTATAAGGAAAAGGGAAGGACAATTTGGTGGGGATTATGTTCAACCTCCCTGAAACTAATGTCCAAGTCCAGCAATATCACCACGCATCTTAGTCACTTAACATTATATCTTGGAGCTTAGTGCCTGGTATTATTGGGTATTCGGAAAAGTCATGACGCATTTTTTTTTTTTGAGAGGTTTTTGCTATAGGTTATGTGCACTCGCCAGAAAGACAGAGACAGAGAGACAGAAAGTGAGAACATCACCCCCCAGGGGGGATGGCCACACCGCAATCTCTTCTCCCCTACTCTCCTCTTAGAATCCTGGGCACGCATACACACGCACCCGGCGTGAGTTTAAGCCACCAGGTCCGGGACTTGAACCGTGGTCGACCACATGGGAGTCCAGCAACATAGCCATTACACCAACTGCTGGTCCCCATGTCATGATGTATTTTTGCATAGAAAAATATGTCATGACTTTTCCAACAACCCAATATGTGGGTGGCGAAATAAATATTTCTTAAATCACTATCATCCAGCAGTTAACATTTTTAAGTCTTATTTTTATTCTGTACCATTTCTAAAAGCCTTAACTCACTATATGGTTACTCATTTATTGTATTATTCAACAAACATTTGTATAGTATGCCTACTACCTGACGGGCGAAATGCAAAGAACTAAACCAACCACAAAACTTACAACATGGGGGACCAGCAGTTAGTGTAGTGGCTTTGTCGCTGGACTCCTACGTAGTCGACCATGGTTCAAGTCCCAGACCCGGTGGCTTAAAACTCACACCGGGCGCCTGTGCATGCGTGCCCAAGATCCCGAGAGGAGAATGGAGGAGAAGGGACTGCGGCATGGCCATCCTCCCCGGGGGTGATTTTTCGCTTTCTGTCTCTATGTCTCTCTATGTCTGTCTGGCGAGTGCACACGCCCTATAGCAAAAAAAAAAAAAAAAAAAAAAAAAAAAACAAACAAACGAAAAAAAAAAAACCTTACAACATGGTCTTTTTGTACTTCTCAGTGCCTCCAAAAGCAAAAATGCATAGTCCTGCAACTTACATACACTACCAATAGATGGAGACACAACCCTTGTCATGAACATACTGAACTTTGCCTTCAGATTCCATGGGGCTCCCTGCTTATGTAACTGCCTTTCTTAACATCATTTAAAAACAAACAAACAAACAAAACAAAAAACAAAACCAATTCTATCTCATTATAACCCCCAAATTAAAATAGCATTACTAAGGTCAGGAAAGGCTTCATGAAAGAGGGGACACCTGAACTATGCCTTAAAAGATAAGACAGAGAGAGAAGGGAGGGAGGTATTCCAGGCTAAAGTCAGCATGTACAAAGGCAGAAAATGCACAGAGCAGCCTGGCTGTTCTGGAAATGACAAGCAGTTTGATACTGATGGAGGACAGAGTCATAGCTAGCTCTATAAATCAATAGGAGAGAAACCGAGTGACAAGATATTCTGAAGGCAGAGGTCAGTGACAAGCTCCAACTGTGGCACTGGGTTTCAAACTTGACTCCTCCTGGCACATCTCCTTCCCCTCTCATGGTAGGACTGCTCGTAGCATTTCTCTGCTTATCCCTAACTCTCTAAGGGAGTGAGTTTTCTCTCAGTGAACCCTTCCCGGCACCCAGGCCATCTCACCGATCCTGAAGCTCAGCCTTCTCCAGATCTCCTTGACTCTTCAGCTGTATTAACTCCTGGCTCTTCTCATGGGCTTCCTTCTCCAGCTTCTGGGTCTTAGCTAGTAGCAGCAGCAGCTGAGCTGGCTCACTTCCATCTTGTCTCCCAGATCCATCTGATTCCCGAGACTGTACACCCACAGTCAAGCGCAGACAACAGGTCAACAGGGACCCTGAAAGCCTCACGTGCTCAGCCTTCAGCTCCGTCAGATCTCTGAATATAAGCACAGAAGAAAGCAGACTCCAATAAGGACCAGGGAAGGAAGTATGGAGCTCAGGCCCAATGAAGGTCTGGGACAAATCATCTGAATCCAATAATACCACCTCTCCGCCACCAAATGTACCATCTGCTGTACCCAGACCAGATTCTTGACCCCCCTGCCCTTCTATAGCAGCCTATTGTCATAAGCCAGAATCAGTAGAGGCAAACCTCCCCCTTATCTGCACACTGACCTGTCAGTAGCTGACTTCATTTCCAGGAAGTGGCGTCGGAAGGTCACCACGTCCCGCCATAGACTGAGAAGGCGACCATGCTCCCCTTTCAGGTAGCCCTTGAAGAACTGTGTTCAGAAACTCAGGTCATATCAAAGAGCAAAGGACTATCTTTTGCCAAGACAAGGGTCTTAGATTCCTTTTGACTGCTAGGGTTAGGGAAAGCAAGGATCATAGGAAGACAGCTTATAAATGGATGTCTATATTCAGGTTTTACTGAAGTATTTAATAAAGTTGGCAGTGGATTCCAGAGGTCAACGGGGCTCAGGCTGGTATACGGCCTTCCTCTAGGTTGGATTATAAAAGGATACTTTGTTGTTACTTAACAAATGAGAGCCATTACTGTAGACTTATAAGAAGGATTAAATGCTATAATATATATGCAGTCACCCAGCACGGAGAAAAGACTCAGGAAATATTTGTTTCCTTTAGCCAAAATCTGAAAACTCCCTAAGACCCATAACTGGTTTTTCTTCCCCATTCAGTTTCTTTCTTTCTTTTTTTTTCTTCCCATTGCCAGAGGATGTATGTACTAGCCAGAGACAGACAGAGAGAGGGAGAGGGAAAAAGCATCCCCAAAGAAGTATAGTCATGCAGCAATCTTTCCATTTCTCCATCCTCTCAGGATCTGAAGCACACACACACACACACACACACACACACACACACACATACCTAGAGTGTTTTTCAAGCCATAAGGGCCAGGATTTGAATCACAGTTGACCATGTGGGATCCAGCTCTCTTAAACACTAAGCTCCCTTACACACTAAGGCCAATTACAGGGCTTGCCCTCTTCCTCACTCAATTTCAATAGCTACCCCCTAGTATCTAGATATGCAGACTTCAGATGAGGGGAGTCAGTAAGCTTTCAGATCCACCTGTAATAAAACCTAAGCTAGTCACTTTGCAGGGACAGAGTTGCTTTAAGCATCTTGCCACCTACTGGCAAAACCTAGACGGTTAGAGACTTTCATAAAGACAGCTCAGTTTCCATTCAAGTCCTGAAGTTAATACTTTCAGCACCAACCAGGTTAGTGCCTGGAGCGCACAGCTCTCCTCTGATGGCACCACCCCCACACAGAGCCCTCAGTTCTTCCTACCTCCTGCTCCATCCGCCATTGGCTTTCCTTCCTCATTAGCTCATCCCGGGCCCGGCTCCAATCCACTGTCAATTTTTCTACATCTTCCCGAAGGGCTTTATTCACCACATCAGCTTTTTCCATGTGCAATCGAAGCTGGGTGTTCACCTCTGCTAGACTTTCACACCTGCACTGGGGAGGGGTAAGAGCAAGTACAAAATAAAAGTCCGGTCCAACTGTTGGATCTCTGAAGATGACAATCACTAGATTTTCCACTGCCAGGAACTAGAGGGCTAAACTGAAGTCCCTGGTTCTATTCCATATGAGCCCTTAGCTCAGAGGTTTCCCATTAGCCTTCTCCCCCCACTGGTTAATCACCCAGGTCAGAAAATTTGGGGTCCATCACCTCTGTTGCTCCTCCTCCAGTCGAATCAGCAATTGTTCCAGGTTTGGTTCCTCCACATTTTCCCACCTCTGAGGGATCAGTCCCTTCACCAGACAGAGATAAGCCTTATTTAGCTCCAAAGAGAACAATGTTCAGACCAATTCCCTGATAGTCCTTCTACAGCAGTCTACTTACCTTTTCACTTTTTCTCTCCCCCCATACTTTCTTAAAAAATGTTTTACTTGTGGGACCAGCAGTTAGTGTAATGGCTATGTCGCTGGACTCCCACATAGTTGACCGCGGTTCGCGTCCGGACCCGGTGGCTTAAAACTCATGCCAGGCGTGTGTGTGTGCGTGCCCAAGATCCCAAGAGGAGACTGGAGGAGAAGGGATTGTGGTGTGGCCATCCCCCCATGGAGGGTGATTTCTCGCTTTCTGTCTCTCTGTCTCTCTCTCTCTGTCTGTCTGGCGAGCGCACGCACCCTATAGCAAAAACCTCTCAAAAAAAAAAAAAAGTTTTACTTGTTATTATTGTTTTTCAGTTTGACTGGAGCTAGACAGAGAGAGGGAAAGTGAGAAAGCAAGCTGCCAGGTCCAGAACTTGAACTGCTGTCAGCCATGTAGGAGTCCAGCACTTTAAACTCTCCCCACCGTTTTTTTTTCTTTTAGCAAGATGCTTCTTTTCTCAATCACTGTATCCTGAAAGTAAATCCAGTGCATTCCTTTCCTCAAAAGTGAACCAATGACTTCTCCTGAAAGATGGTTTTTGGTAGTGAAAAGAATCTTCAACCTAAAAATCTTAAGATGTGTTTTCACTAATAACCATGACTTCTTCTATGCTCATTTTTTGAAATCACTTGATTTCTCAGAGCTACAGCATCTTCAGCTACAAAATGAAAGTAGTATTATTCTCCTCAGAAAGATGCTTTGTAGATTAAGTAACATTAATTACATGGCAATGCCTAACAGTGCCTGACCCACATGGAAAGTGCTCAGTAAGTCTGGTTCTTTCCTTCCTCTGATGAAACTCTTTTGAGGAGAATGCAACAAGGTGCAAGAGAAAGCTGGAAAAAAGGCAAATGAGTTTTTCAAAGCCAGTTCTACCTAGAGAATAGCACAAATAAACTCCTCTGCCACAGACACGCCTTGAAGGTCTGAAGATACACATTCTATGATAGACAAACACTGACACCTGCTGGAAGAGAAATGCATTTCTTCCCCCTAACTCCATACTGAACCATCTGATAGTCAAGAAGCTGCGTTTCAGCCTGACAGAACCAAAGGTTGTATGTAACCTGAGAGCCCAGTGATAATCAGTTCAAATGAAGATATTAGCGAGATAAAGCTCTCAAGGCCTGCAGAGAGACTTCTATCATAGATCCTCCTTTCACACTCCCCAACCTCCCTCAGTCACCAAAGGAAGCCTAAGTATATTCACTGAGGACCCACTGGGAGCAGTGGACTCATCCTTACTCACTCCAGTGGCTTCCAGCCGCTTCTCCAGCTCTTGGCACCAGTTCCGGTACTGCAACACCTGAGGCAAACAGAACAGGTAGACAGCTGGACACAGGTGGTACTAACAGCCCAAACCTAAGGCTCCTGGAGATCCTGGGCAAACTTGCCGTGAATGCAGAACTGGTAGTGACAGGGAGGTAGGGCTATAACATCTTACAGTTCCTATTTGGGCATTTAAATAATACTTCCTAGGGGCCAGCAGGTGGTGGTGGTTAAGGTGCTGGACTCCCCTATGGCTGACTATGGTTTGAGTACTGGACCTGAAGGCTTGCTTTCTCACTTTCTCTCGTTCTCTCTCTCTCTGGTCAAATTAAAAAATAATAACAAATGAATAAAAATAGGGGACCAGCAGATAGCATAATGGTTATGTCGCTGGACTCCCACTTAGTTAACCACAGTTTGAGTTTCAGACCCAGCAGCTTAAAACTCACACCCGGTCCATGTGCATGCGTTTCCAAAATCCCAAGAAGAGGATGAAGGAGAAGGGACTGTGGCATGGCCATATCCCTTGGGGGGTGACTTCTCACTTTCTGTCTGTTTCTCTAGTGACAGAGACAGATTTTTGCCCGTAGCAAAAACTTTTCCCTAAATAAATTAATAAATAAAACAATTATTTTTAAAAAGTACTTTCTTGGGGCCGGCAGGTGGCGTGGTGGTTAAGGGCACTGGACTCCCACATGATTGACCGTGGTTTTCGTCCTGGACTTGGTGGCTTGCTTTCTCACTTTCTCTCTCTTTCTGTCCCTCACTGGTCAAATTAAAAATAAATAAATACAGATTAAAAAAAACACACACACACACATCATCTTTAAACAGAATATATATACCCCAGGGAGTAGTTGTGATAGTCAAAAGGAGATGCTACATTTGAAAGCTGCAAGTTCTGAGTCCTTCCTCTCACCAAGCTAGGGGTGGACAATGATCTCCACATGGCTCTGCCTCTTATAACCCTTACCCCACCTCAGCACCCAGACCTCAGCACCCAGTTCTAGGTGCTGTTCTTTTCCCTTTCCCAAAAGCACAGCTGCCTCACCTTGGCCTGCAGCTTCCTCACAAGAGCTGCTTGCCTCTGCTGGGCCTCCTGGGAGCTCTTCAGCTTCTGCCAGGAGGCTGCCTGGTTCTCTGCCATCTGCTGCTGCAGTGCCAGGACTTGCTCCTCCAGCACCAGCTGCAGTGACTTGGGCTTCATGCTGTTCAACCCAGGGCTTCTTGTTTCCATGGGGTACCAGACTGTAAGTCCACCGGCCCCTATGCAGCCGGAGGCTGTTTGCTCCCAGCAGGGTCTCTAACCATTGCTGTGCCACCTCCACCTCCTCTTGAGCTGGGGACCAAAGCACATAGTAGAATCGAAGGTTCTGTATCAATGACTCAGATTTATTCAGCAAATATACATTTATTAAATTTGTCAAAGTGTCCGGAAAAACTGGATTGAACAAAGTAAACAGGTACAAGACTTTACTACAATACTCTTTAGAATCTTTAAAATACTAAGATGGATTCTAATCTCTTTCTCAGGTTTCTCCTCCTGGGATTGGGTACATATGCACATGCAGCTGGCATGTTTTCTCAAACCACCAATCTGGGGACTTGAGCCACGCAGTCGGCCGTGTGGGATCCAACTGCCTCAACCACCATCCCACCAGTTAACCCCAGAACCAAATCTCTAAGAAATGGACATGGTAAGCATTATTTCTCAGGTTTAACTGCCCATGACACAAGGCCACCAGACTAGTGTTTCCTGGCATGCCTTTTGGTGCTAGACTAAGGCCTCCTGGTTCACCATTGCATCCCTAGTACCTGGCACAGGTAGCATGGTGGTTAAGGGGCTGGGCCCCACCGCAGTTTGAGACCTGGACCAGACGGCTTACGTGCTCTCTCATTCTCGGGTAAACACACATGTCCCATAGCAAATTAAATAATAATAATAGAATTAAATAATTATTTTTTTAAAATCAGAATATCTGCTGATCTTTGACCCATATTTTACTAAGCAACAACCAGCTGCCAATGAATAGTTAGTGCCTGCTCCTTTACGCCTGGCAGGTGCTCTCCAGTTGACCACAGTTCCCTCCACACACACCGTCTAATCTCTCACATTGAGGGCAGGTTTTAGTTGTCATTTATCATTGCACTTGTGCTATTGTTTTTCAGAGTTATACTGGGAACTCTATACTATGCAGTTTTTCTGTAAATCTGTAATTGTTGTAAAAAATAAAGTTCATTTAAAAAATAATTAAGGAGGCCAGCAGGCAGCATGGTAGTTAAGGTGCTGAATTTCTACATGGCCAGGTGTGGTTTGAATCCTGGACCTGGCAGCTGGAAAATCACAACAAATAAATAAATACATGTAAAAATGAATAATAACAATAGTAATTATTATTATTATTAGGGGCCAGCAGGTGGCATGGTGGTTAAGGCACTGGATCTCACATGGTCGACTCTGCAGTTTGAGTCCTGGACCTGGTGGCTTGAAAAACACACTGGCCATGTGTGTATATGTATCTAAACTCCTGAGAGGAGAATGGAGGAAAAGGAACTGTGGTGTGGCATCTCCCTTGAAGGATGCTTTCTCACTTTCTCTCTATTTCTCTCTGGCAAGTACACACACCCTATGGCAAAAAAAAAAAATCTAAAAAAAAGAAAAATTGAAGTGTCTTATTAGAATTAATGTTCCATTAGAAAGACTAAAACAAAACAAAATCCCCATAAAACTGAGATTCATTAAAACTAGAATAAAAAGGAGACAGAGAAAAATTATATTAACTATCTATCTGAAATTGAGATTTAGTTCTGGCCTTCCTCAAGACACAGATCAGCACCCTTTTATTAACACAGAGTCTGGTCAGCCAGGGAATGAACTAACAGCACTCCATAGTAAAGGCAGGTTTCAATGTCCCTCAGAAAAAGAAAAGCTGGCAAAGAGGAACAGAGACTGGACTGCATTCAAATGAGATGAGGGTCAAGTACTTTGTAAATTGTAAACTACTGAATAGATGTTATCATTCCTACAGGAAAAGAGAAACATTCACTTCTTTTAAAAATTAATTTATTCCATAAACAGGCATCGATTCCACCTCAGGATCAGGAGTATGCCAGGGTGGTGCAGAAATGAACAAGACCTACGTTCTACTTTTGCTACGAATCAGAATGGGAAGGGCAGCAATCTTACTGAAGATCAATAGCCTCTACTGAACCCTGAGTGGAAAGAGACCGAGTGTGGTATAAATGACATATTTAGTCTTTTCTCATCCACAATACTCCATTTGGGATATAAAGAAACATTTAAATAAAGTTTAAAATAGAAGCCACACCACCAAAACTTGGAGTGGAGGTATAAATGCTGTAAGGACTAAGATGTGGACAGGTATTATTGAATAGATGTTGTCTTTTAAAGAGAAATAGGCAAAACATCTGAGGGCACATTTTATTTCCTGAGCAAACTCTATATGTTTGTCTGCAAAAACAAGTTCTCTCTTTTTTAATTGTCAGGGTGTTCTTGCACTTGCCAGAGTGCATGGGGGGGGGGGGTTAAATCATCTCCCAGTGGGATGTTGTCAGGCTGCAATCCTTTTCCTTCTGTTTCTCCATCCCCTCAGGAACTGGGGGCATGCACATACACACTCCCTATATATTTTTCAAGCCATTGGGGGTTGGGACTAAATTCGAACCATGGTTGGCCACTTGGGATCTGGATCCCTAGGCAAAGGGTTTAACTGCTATGCTACAGGTCTGGCCATGCAGAGACAATTTGTGTTTCTTATTCCAGAAGGAAAAATGAGCAGGTAGCTCCTTATACAGCTTCCCTAAGTGCAGCCTCTCCCTCTGTCCTCCTCCAACCACTCTAGCCTTTCCCAGTCTCCTTTGTGGGTTCCTTCTCTTCTCCCAACGTTTTAAGATTAGAGGCCCAAGGGGTCAGACTTCAGGACTCTTTTCCATCTATATTTATTTCCTAGATAACCTCACCCAGTTTCATGGCTTAAAATAGCACCTATACACTGATGACTCCCAAGGTTACATCTCCTGCCCTGTACCTCCCACTGGAATGTCACAATCTCCACAACTACCAAATCCAAGTATCTATTTAACTTCTCTATGGAGATGTCCAACAGACATCTCAACAATAACTTGTCCAAAAGTGAACTTCTATTCCTCCAATCTTCCCTACTTCAGTAAGTGGCAATTCGATTTTTCTGGTTACTCAAGCCAAAAACTTCACAGTCATACACACTCCAGTCTCTCACACCTGTTTCCAACGCATCAGCAAATCCTATTGGCCCTACCACATCTTATCACTTTCCCATTCCCCCCATCACCATCCAGACCCATGTTACTCTCTCTTGCCTTATGTGGTGGCTTTTAGGTATATTTACAAATTCTTTGATACCCTCAGAGGTGGGGTCTAATTCTCTCCCCTTCAGTGTGGGCTAAAACAAAGTTAAGAATAAAGCAGAATGACTTCTAAGACAAGGTCCTAAAAGACAGTATGGCTCCTCACTTGTCCACTCTCTCTCTCTGTGATCAATTTCTTTCAAGGAAGCCACCTGCCATGTCCTAAGGACACTCAAGCAACCCTGTGAAGAGGCCAAAAGGTAATGAACTGTGGCTTCCTGCCAACATCCTTGTGATCGAACCATCTTTTTCTTTTTTCTGGAGAGGTTTTGCGTGCACTCACCAGAAAGACAGAGAGAGACAAAAAGTGAGAAATCACCCCCCGGGGGGATGGCCACACCGCAATCCCTTCTCCTCCATTCTCCTCTTGGGATCTTGGGCATGCCTGGCATGAGTTTAAGCTGCCAGGTCTGGAACTCAAACTGCGGTCGACTACATGGGAGTCCAGCGACATAGCCATTACACTAACTGCTGGAACCTGATTGAGCTATCTTGAAAGCAGATTCTCCAGGTCCAGTTGAAGCCTTTAGGTCACTGCAGCCTCATGAGTGATCCTAAGCCAGAAACTCAGATAATCCACTCCCCAATTTATGATCCACAGCAAACATATAAGATAATAAATTACTGTTGTTTAAAGCTGCTAAATTTTGGGATAACTTCTTGCACAGCAATAGATAAGGAACACATCTGGATTACAAAACCTTCCTGGATGGTGGCAAAGCTTCTACTCCTACTTCCTAAATTTTATTTTTTAACAGAGTAGTCAGAGTAATCCTTATAAAACATAAGATGGATTACTCCACTCTGAACCCTCCAATACCTACTCAAAGTCCTTGTTACAGCTCAGAAGGTCCTAATTATTTGTTCCCAGCCCCCATTTGCTTTCATTTTACTTCCTACTCCCATCCCCTCTGCTCCCACCCCTCAAGTTACACAGCTCTCCTTGCTTAGAACACATGGAACCACACACTCAATGTCAAGGCCTCTTCCCCCAGTTTTCTTTACAATTTGCTCCCTCACTACCTTCGGGTCTCAGTTCCAATGTCACTTCCTTAGTAAGTTGTTCCCTAACTAACCAATATCACCCCCCTCCACACATGGTGGTACTCCTATTTATCTCACTGTGCTTTATCTGACTCTACTTATTATTTATAACTTGTAATACATCTATCCAGAATATAAATCACAGAAGTACTAAAACACTGTTTTATTGAATGCTGTATTCTCTCAGTTCCTAAAACAGTGCTTGGTATATAGCAAGTGCCTATTAGTTTTTTTTTCCTCACTAGAGCCCATGTAAGCTTGTCAGAGATAGAGAGACAGAAAGAAAGGGAGAGGAGGAAGTACCCCCCTGTGAGAAATGGTCATGCTGCTATCCGTTCTACCCTATTTCTAGTGTTAGGATTTGGGGAATGCATGCACATGGGCCCAGCATATTTTTCAAGCTGTCAGGGCTGGGATATGACCCTATGGTCAACCATGTGGGATATAGCTGCCTTAACCACCAGGTTATAAAGCTGGCCCTGATCCATTTCTTTCTTTCTTTCTTTTTTTTTTTTGGAGAGGTTTTTGCTATAGGGCGTGTGTGCTCGCCAGAAAGACAGAGAGAGAGACAGAGAGATAGAAAGTGAGAAATCACCCCCCAGGGGGGATGGCCACGTCACAGTCCCTTCTCCTCCATTCTCCTCTTGGGATCTTGGGCACGCAAGCCCATGCGCCCGCGTGAGTTTACGCCACCAGGTCCGGGACTCGAACCGCAGTCGACTACGTGGAAGTCCAGCAACATAGCCATTATGCTAACTGCTGGTCCCAAGTTAAATAAAATAATTATTTTAAAAAAGAAAAAAAAAAAAGGGGGAAGAGAAGGATAAGCACTCTCAACAGGGTCTCACACCACAATAGCATGTACAGGTCAACCAGGGAATGAAATCTGCAATCTTCCATCTAAATCCAGCTTTCGATGTGCCACCAAGCCAGCCCAAATATTTAACTAACTATAAGGGCATTAGGGAACATGATCCATGTTATCACCAATGGTCTGACAATTCTTTAACCATCTAAAAAGCCAAAAACAGACTATGTATGTTTTGCCCAGTACTTCACTTTCTCACAACCATCACTTGGAATTATCATTAAAACAAAAAAAAACACTTTGAGATAAGATTACTGTCATGTTACGAACAAATCTGAGGCTCAAAAAAAGGAAGTGATATATAATTGGTAAGTGGCTAAAACTGAGCCTCAGTCCAATTCCAAATTCTATACTCTTCCCCATTACATTAGATGCTCCCTAAAGCATAAACTATGACATCATAGCTCTGTAAGGGGGTACTGTCTCTCTCTCTCTCTCTTTCTTTCTTTCTTTCTTTCTCTAAGGGGGCAGTTTAAAGGATGTGAAAGGAGGACGTCTAGGTCTGCAGCTTTTTTGATGAAAAAAGAGCAAAGAAAAGTAGAATGACTGAAATAACAGAGGACAACCAGCAAACAACCAGGATTCTTGGTTTGGTCATAAACTCATTCTACAAATTTGGAAACGTCATTGCTAAGCCTTTTCAATAAAATGAGGAACATAATCCTGGCCTCCATAACTCGCGAAGCTAAAGATCAAGTCAACAGATGTTTACCAAACCCAAAAGCAATCTAGTTATCACTCGCCCTGGAGACAAGACAATTTCCTAGACCTACCTACTTATTAGTTGCCCAACTGCAGGCAAATTACTGATCTAGGAGTGCCTCAGTTTCTTCCTATGCAAAATGTGAAAATACAGAACACATTTTATAGAATTGCTGCGCACAATGGAATTGCTGTGTGCCTTTGTATGTTATGTATTTAGTAGCACCTTACAATGCGACTCCCAGTAAACATTAGTTATTATTATGTGCTAGACCCGGAGATACAGAGATGAAAAAGACATAACCTTTAAGGAACGCGCTCGTGATGTCAAAAAGGGGCGGGAAAAGTTAACTCGGTGCAATGAGTGCAAAAGCCGAGGATGGGGATTAGTTATGCCTGGAGAAGGCGGCTGGGAAAGGCGTCCGAGAAATGGTATTTGGGTTGCGTCCTCAAAAATGAGAGATCTAGAGTCGGGCGGGGATGGGACTGGGCTTTCGGGCAGATCCCACGCAAAGCTCCGGGGCGCAGGGCTGGATGGCCGGAGCGCAGAGCCTAGTTCGGACACCCCGGGGCTTGGCGGTGGCTGAATACGCGGATCGGGAAATCCTCTTTCCGCGCTGACTGAAGCCCAGAGCGGTCCGACAGCAGGAGGCTGAGGCAAACCAGCCAGGAGCCCTAGGATGGGTCGCAGCCTCTCGCTGGGCCTCGCAATCTTCCCGGGTAACGAGAGGCCGCTGCCCAAACCGGATCCCCCTAAGACGCTCTAGGCAGGCGGGTCTCCGGGCCTCGGACCGTTAACCCGGGCCCCTCCCGTTTGCTCCTGGAACCCCACCTCACCACGCACAGATCCCGCGGTTTCCCAGCGTCTTCCTCAGCGTTGCAGCGGCGGGGGCGGGCAGG